ACCCCCATTCCTGGCAGAAGTTGCCATCAGGTAGTGGGACCCCTCCCCACCTCCTTCCTCAGGAATGGCTGGTTCCTGAGACTGGGAAGAAGGCTGGCTAGCTGCAGGCAGAGGATGGTTGGGGTGGATTCTCTCACCGAACCCCCCCAAAGCCCCCCTTGATATCCCCCAAAATCTCTTCTGTCCCCCCTGCTCTGAAAGGGGGATTTGGGCTTTGTCAGTCTTCAGTTGGGGGGAGAAAATCTTCCTTCAGGGGATTCTTGCAGTGATGGGGAGCAAATGGCTGCCCCTCATTGGGGTCCTTTGCCCTTTCTTTAAAAATGTCTCTTTGTGTTGATGCTGCCTAAAATTGTTGGGTCTTGCAGCCAACTCACACTTTGCCCTTTTCCCCCTTGAATCTTCTGCTGGATTTTGCTTATTTGTGTATAGTGTGGGTCACAAAGGCAAAAAAGGGAAAGTGAAAAGGAGAAATTTTCTTTCTCCAAATAAAACTTTTTGAAAAGTGATTGAAACACAGGAGAAAATTAGGAGAAAGAAGCTTTTCCTTTCCTTTTCTTTTTTCTTTAATTTTCTTTCTCTCTCTCATATATTTATAACAGTGTTTTTATTATTATTATTATTTGAATAATAATAATAATAATAATAATAATAATAATAATAATAATAATAAATTAAATAATAATTATTTGAATCAACACAATATTATGGAAGGCATAGTATTCTTTCTTCCAGAATTCTGCAAAGTTTGTCCTCGCAGCCTTCAGCTTGTACCTTCATCAATTGTGGCGTTTTTATTGATGTGACCCCCAGGGAAGGGAGGTGGATGGGCAGTGGTCATTCCAGAACCCCCCTTTCCACTCAGGGTCTTTGTTCCCCCCCGAGTTTCCGTGTCTGGGGCTCCTGGGGTCAGCCGGGAGTGAGGCTGCTGTGCCAGCCTCTGCCCACCGTCCGGTTGGTATCAAGAGTGAAAGAAACTCCTGGGACTTTGTTTCTCCCAGAGCGGAACTGGACTGAGATTAAACCAACAGAGGCACAGAAACAGAAGAGCCAGTTCTGGAGTTTTCGCACGAAAACAGCCTGGGTAAAATCCCCTTTTTTCCCTCGAACCTCCATCTGCACATCATCTACCAATCAATTGCCTTTGTTTTGTTTTGTGAAGGATCGGAGGGCTTCAGAGTTTCCCTGCATTTGGCCTGGGGGTGTCTGTTGTGTCCCTGGCTGGGTAGGCTCACACACCTCCCTCCCTCCCCTCCCAAAACTCTCTTCCTCTCTTCCTCTTCCTTTGATCCCTCCACCCCCCAAAATCCACCCACATATGAGTTTGGGGGTTGGGATGAGAATCCAACCAGGTCTCTCTCTCTTCTGCTCACCTCACACTCTTCTTTGACAGGATGACATACCGCAGACATTCTGATTGGGCTGGCTTTAAATTGGCACTCCTCTCCTGCCCTTGCTGTGTCTCCCTCTTCCTTTCCAGCAGCCAGGACTCTGGCGCACCTTCCCGACCAGCGGGGCCAACAGTAGTGCTGGATGGGGACCACAGGGGCTGTGCTCCCTCGGGGTCGCAGCTTGCGGGAGGGCTGGCCTGCTCAGCAGAGGCTCCAGCAGGCCGGGGCTGCCCTGTGCGGCTCCCTGGCCAGTGCGCCTTGGACGAGGCCAGCCCGAGAAAGGGACTTCCTGGCCATGCTTATTTCAGGGGCGGGGCGCCCAGGCACCAGCTGGCCAGGTGAACAGAAGATCGGAGAAAGAGAGAGAGAGAGAGAGAGAGAGAGAGAGAGAGAAGGGAAGGGAAGGGAAGGGAAGGGAAGCGCAAGTGCCTCTCTCTATCTCTGTCTCTCTCTCTCTGCAAATGGTGGAGGAGGAATGCCCTGCAATCAAAACTATTATTCAAACAACTTAAATCAGAATAACTGTTTGAACAGTGGTTTCATAAAACTATAACAATTCATAACGGGATTTCATACTATTGATCATGTAGTTTGATACACTTTGAAGCTTCTGTTGCATTTCAATGACTTGATTCCCTGAATAGTTCCGAAGAATATTGCAGAAGTCTTTCGGGAGAGGTGTGTTCAAGCAGACGGTTAATAAGGCTCCAAATCTCTCCCGTACAGGAGACCTCCGTTTCACATACATCTAAGATGAAAAGAAAACCGGTTTGCAAAGACATTCTAGGTGAGATCAAACTAAAACCCATTCAGACAGAGATAGTCTGTAACTCTTGCTCGTGTAGGTTACTGTATAACTATAGACAGTCCACCCACTAACTGGAGAGATTTAGCCAGCAGGATAAAGAGATGAAAACTTAGTCTGAAATACTAGTATTTGGGAGAGATTAGCCTCCTTTTATGATTTACCTCCTAAAAGCTGGTTAGTGCTGTTGGAATGTACACACACATACACACAAACACACTTATGCATGCACACGCACACGATTAGCAATCAAGCCCCAAGGGCCCATGACAATGTTTTATTAATATTTTCAGATAAAATGTTATTGTACTTGGGAATAGTCAAAGATCATAAGTCAAGTGAATAAGTGTTTAGAAGAAAACGGCAACCAATTTGGTATAGCTTGTCTATGTGTTTGCTACTTTTCTGATGACTTGGGCCTTTATTTTTGTTGCATGCCACTCAAAAGTGTTTCAGAATGCAGCAGCATAGAAATGCCAACAATAAATGTATTATGTATTTAGCTGATTCATAAGGTCTGTTATAAAAAATGGTTAACTGTTGCTTTTATTTGAATTATAGACTCTCTGTATAACTTTAAGCCTTTTAGGCGGGAATGAATCCTTTAAACTGATTGGCTGCCGCCTAGTGGCAGTCCGTATAAATATGAGTCAAGCAGCTGCTAGAGTTTGCTTCTGTGAGAACTAATAAAGAGCTGTTGTTGCAATTCCTTGTCTTCAATGTCTTGCTGTTCCCACAACACAACAAAATAGCATATACAAGAATCATATGATCATATACATTAATTATCCAGAAGAAACAGAGTAATTGAATAATAACGAGGATACTGCAATAAGGTACGTGGGCATTCAGTTTCATCTGGGATTCAAATTGCATAGAAACATGCTTTCTTACACTTTATATTAAACTCAAGAAAACGGGTAGCATAGGTTTAAATGATATTTGCCTGCTACAACTGCATTTTCTTTTGCAGAGAACAATGTATCATCCATGACATTGATTTGTCTGTATCATCCAAGCCAGTATTTTGCTCCATTCCACGAGATTTTACATGCACATATTAAAGGGTGAGGTGTGGGGGGGGGGGAGAATATTACTGTTCAAGCTGTAGATGAAAAAGATAAAACTGTAAGTGTGGTTCTTTGCCACTGTAAAATCATACAAGTATTTTCTGCACAAATGCAGAAAACAGAAAGCCGAAGGTTCTGCTCAGAATAGTCCAATGCTTAAAAGCTGTGTTTGGGACCTGCCTTCTGGCACACCATACATTTTCCTAAGCACGGCCTCCACAAATGTCCTTAGTTCCTGAAATCAGGAATCCTGGTGTGTCGTGGTTAGAGTGCAATATTACAGGCCAACTCTGTCCACAGCCTGGAGTTCAGTCCTGATGGGCTGAAGATTGACTCAGCCTTTCATCCTTCCAAGGTTGGTAAAATGAGGACCTAGATTGTTGGGGGCCATATGCAAATTATGCTTCAACATTGTAAACCGCCCAGAAAGTGCTTTAAAGCAAGGCTTTTCAACCTTTTCACAGAATGTACCACTTTTAGGACATGACGATATTTGAGTACCACCAGTGCTTAGCAAGGTGTCAAAAAAAAGGGGAGAGGATTTTGGATTTTACTGGTTAGATTCATTTGTTGTTTGTAATATTATGGAAAAGTACAAAGTTGAGGTTCAGTGTTAATGCTTCCTTCTACTGCAACAGAGGAAGCCAAAAGTCAATGCCATTTCTTTTCTTTTTCCCTTCTCCCCCTCACTTTTCTTTCCCTTTTTCCTCCCCACTGTGTCCTACTACCCTGTTTCCCTGAAAATAAGACTGGGTCTTTTTTTTGGGCTCCAAAAGATGCACCAGGACTTATTTTTAGGGTAGGCCTTACCCCACCTCCAGCTCGGACTGCCTCACCTAGCTGGTCCATTACATCTGGGGCTGAAGTTCTGCAGCTGCATTTGGGCCTGCATTCTGCAGTTAGGCCTTTAAAGAAGGCCTAAGCAGCCATGTATCGAGCTATGGATTCAGTCCGTTGCTTAGTGCATGGCTGCACAGGCCTTCAAGAAAGCCCTGTGACTGAGAAATGCAGGCCTGGCTGCAGAAAAGGCCTCAGAAAAAGAAGTGGGCCATCAAGGAGAGGCCTACCTGCAAGGTACGTGGGTGTGAGGGGGATAGGGCAGCTCCACACCCCCACCTCCGTCCTAGCTTGATTTTTAGGTGTGTGCCTTGCCCCAAAACTAGGGTTTATTTTGGGGATAGGGCTTAAATTAGACCCACCCCCCAAAATCAAGCCAGTGTTTAGTTTCAGGGTAGGCCTTACTTTCAGGGAAAAATGGTATTTCCTTTTTTATTTTTATTTTATTTTATTCTATTTTATTTAATTTCTTTGGTGGCAATTCCTTTGCAGAATCACTTTTCCTTTACACTGACAAATATATGATGAATTTCTCAATATTTATTAATATACACGACTGCCTTGATGGTCAGATGGCTGGTTGGCCCTACTTCCTCTCTCCCTCACCTCTCTCTTTCTCCTCACCCTTCACTCACAACCCCCCCTCTCTCACACACACACCCCAAACACATTTCCTCACACACACCTCCGCAAAAGCCTTTCCTCTCTTCCTCACACACACACACACACACACACACACACACACACACACACACACACACACACTTCCCCCAAAGCCTTTCCTCTTTGTCTCTCTCACCGCTTCTCTGACAAAAGCCTTTTCTTTTCTGACTCTTTCTCCAACATCTCCCTCTCCCGCCAAAACTGCCTCCTTTTATAGCCTCTCCTGCCTCGGCCCACCTCCTCCTTTCTCTTCCGGATCTTGTGCCAGAGACGGTTTTTCTTGCTCTGAGTTTTAAGCCACTTTCATTCTTCAGGTCTGGCTTTCCTTTTGGAGAGATATCTGAAAGAACAGTGCTTTCCTTCTGGATAAATTGGCTCGTTAATGTTACAGAAATATTACTGAAAACTGAAGGACCAAAAGATCCATTGTCGAAGTCATCAATTTTTTCAGCCTGCCTTCTGTTCACCACTACCTGTAGTGTGGCTGAAATTATATCACTAGAACGTGAGGAGTTGCTGCTGCCATTAGGGGTTTTTTCATTCAAAGTAGAATCTAATATTGGAGATTGTATTGGAATACCGAAATCCAACTCCTCATTTTTCTGATCCAGCCTCTCTTTCTTAAGGGTATTAGTTTGCTTGGTAACATACAACATACAAGTCATACATAACTTGTAAGTCATTGCTCAAAGCAATTCAGCGCCGATAAAGCAGAGTGGGAAGACTAGGAATAATGCAACATGTTGGCTGCCATCATATCAACATTACTACTATAAGAGACACACATTATTTTTGATACCTACATAAAGGTTGGTTATAGCATGATCACACCTTCTTGGGAATGCAACATACAACTAGCATAATTTATTTAATGTACAATATCAATTTTTGAATATTCTTTTCTTGTCTAAATAAGTTTTCATTCACCCTCCAGGATCTTCTCTCCTCTTTTTCCTGAATCAGCTCCATCCAAACTGGGCTATGATCTGTCAACGACCTAGGAAAGATCTTTATGTTCTTTACTCTATTATATAAGTCCGTTGTGATCAAAAAAAAGTCAATTCTTGAGAAAGATTGGTGTCTATCTGAAAAGAAAGTAAAATCTCTCTCCTCTTGATTACATTCTCGCCAATAATCCCTTAGTTCCCAGTCCTCCTTCATGTCAAAAAAAGCTTTAGGCAGTTTTGCCTGTTTAATAAGAGGAGAGAGGCCTTTCTTGTCCCTTTGTATATCCATAACGCCATTCCAATCGCCCATTAATACCACGGATCTATAGTCCAGCAAAGTTATTTTTTGATGTAACAGTCTATAAAATTGTTCCTGTTGCTGATTTGGTGCATAAAGTCCCACTATAAGTATTTTCTTACCATACAGACCAAGTTCAATCATCACATATCTTCCTTGGGGATCTGATTCTACCAAAGAAGCTGCTAGATTTTGCTTCACTTAGATAACCACTCCCCCCTTTTTCCCAGGAGCAGAGGATACAAAATGAGATCCCAGACGGGCATTGAGTAAGTATTTCTGATCTTTAAGTAAGATATGAGTTTCCTGTAAGCAAATAACATCATTATTATGTTGCTTCAAATAGTAAAAAATTTTCTTTCTTTTCTGTGGGGAATTCAATCCGTTAACATTCCAGGTCAGGAACTTTGCCATCTTTCTTGGCCTTGAGCCTGGAGAAGACTCCCTGAAGGTCTGCCATTCCTGCCTGGATTGCAGAACTCTTAGGTCTTGCTCCTCCCATCGGCAATGAATCACTTTCGGAAGAAGATTCTTTAACTTCTCTTTTATGTTGCTCCTTCTCCTTACGTCTATAAGCTGCACGGGTCATTCTCTGATCTTTAACCTCCATTTGACGTTGCCGTTCAACTTGAGGCATCCCTGCAGAAACCAAACCTGATGCTTCAGATTGCTCCAACTCTTTGCCACTCAGAGGTTTCTGAGCAGGTGGAACTGAGCCTGCACCCAGGACCGTGTTGTAAAACTCCTTGGCTTTTTCAACTGTATTCAACCTATAACGCATCTCCGCATGACTCAGAACAATACCTGTTGGGATCTCCCATCTAAATGGCATCAATCTAAGACGACGTTCTAGGAATGCGGCCCGGCTATAAAGACAGGGGTCGTCTTATACGCCGGGTCGCCTTGTACGCCGGCATTTACGGTACATAACACGAAGAAATAAAGCACATAATACATTTGTGGAAAAATGACTTTTATTACTCACTCACTTGAAAGGGAATTACAGCACTGCGACCCAAGAACACTCAGATTAAAATGCATGCATCAGCGTTCTCTAAGTAGAGCAGAAGAGAGGCTTTGCACTTTGACTAGTTTAAGGTGTTGTATACAGGCAGAGGGTATTTGTCAATTGAGCCTGTGAGTCCACAACAAGCCATGACCTCATCAAAATGGTAGAACCTGGTTCATGACATCAAGCTTTGCTCCTTACATGCTTACATATAAGGTCATGATGACAAATTGTAAATGGGGAAGAAACTTGGATTATGTCACATTTTATCATTACCTCATCATTGCCTGTCTGCCTGGGTGGAAGAGTTGCCATTTCTTGGGATAAAAAAAGAACCCTCATGGGTCTGAACGTATAGGCATCTTTGGGATGAATATATATTCACTTGTGGGACTGAACAGTATCATTGTTAGACGCAAAAATAGTCACAAATTGAAATCCACTCTGAGTTACAAATAGAAAAGAAGTTTATTAGACTTCACAACAAAGTCTAAAAAAATAACGGTTTGCAAAGCGTGGAGGATTCAGAAGGCAATGCAATATAGTCAAGCACTGAACCACACCCCAAATTCCAAAATCACATATTATTATACAAATACCCTCTGCCTGCAGAAAACTTCATTTTTATAGATACTTTGGTTGGATTGTTTTCCTTATCCCTGCAGTAGACGGATGAGAGGGGATGGAAGATCCTGTAGTCTGTTGTGTAGCAACAGAAGATGATCTTTGTTGCGGGAGCTCTACAGTTTTGCATGTTTGTAATCCACTAAAGAAGGAAACAAAGTTGAAATATATCAGAAGAAGCAAACAGAAAAACAAAAAAACCCCGGTATGTTTTCAAAGTACAGTTAAATGGTGCTTGAACACTGGCTATGTTTTCAAATTTTGTTAGTGGTTGGGACTAGACATTACTGTAGCACTGATGTATGTATTGTTAGAACATTTCTTTGTTAATAAAAATAGTAAAACAATATCTGCCCACAGAGATGGTACTAACATTTTTCTTCCTTTTGGCATACAAGGGTTTTGCTACATTTATTGATTGAAAAGTATCACTCTGATATTGTACATTAAATAAATTATGGCAGTTATATGTTGCATTCCCAAGAAGGTGTGATCATGCTATAACCAACCTTTATGTAGGTATCAAAAATAATGTGTGTCTCTTATAGTAGTAATGTTGATATGATGGCAGCCAACATGTTGCATTATTCCTAGTCTTCCCACTCTGCTTTATCGGCGCTGAATTGCTTTGAGCAATGACTTACAAGTTATGTATGACTTGTATGTTGTATGTTACCAAGCAAACTAATACCCTTAAGAAAGAGAGGCTGGATCAGAAAAATGAGGAGTTGGATTTCGGTATTCCAATACAATCTCCAATATTAGATTCTACTTTGAATGAAAAAACCCCTAATGGCAGCAGCAACTCCTCACGTTCTAGTGATATAATTTCAGCCACACTACAGGTAGTGGTGAACAGAAGGCAGGCTGAAAAAATTGATGACTTCGACAATGGATCTTTTGGTCCTTCAGTTTTCAGTAATATTTCTGTAACATTAACGAGCCAATTTATCCAGAAGGAAAGCACTGTTCTTTCAGATATCTCTCCAAAAGGAAAGCCAGACCTGAAGAATGAAAGTGGCTTAAAACTCAGAGCAAGAAAAACCGTCTCTGGCACAAGATCCGGAAGAGAAAGGAGGAGGTGGGCCGAGGCAGGAGAGGCTATAAAAGGAGGCAGTTTTGGCGGGAGAGGGAGATGTTGGAGAAAGAGTCAGAAAAGAAAAGGCTTTTGTCAGAGAAGCGGTAAGAGAGACAAAGAGGAAAGGCTTTGGGGGAAGTGTGTGTGTGTGTGTGTGTGTGTGTGTGTGTGTGTGTGTGTGTGTGAGGAAGAGAGGAAAGGCTTTTGCGGAGGTGTGTGTGAGGAAATGTGTTTGGGGTGTGTGTGTGAGAGAGGGGGGGTTGTGAGTGAAGGGTGAGGAGAAAGAGAGAGGTGAGGGAGAGAGGAAGTAGGGCCAACCAGCCATCTGACCATCAAGGCAGTCGTGTATATTAATAAATATTGAGAAATTCATCATATATTTGTCAGTGTAAAGGAAAAGTGATTCTGCAAAGGAATTGCCACCAAAGAAATTAAATAAAATAGAATAAAATAAAATAAAAATAAAAAAGGAAATACCATTTTTCCCTGAAAGTAAGGCCTACCCTGAAACTAAACACTGGCTTGATTTTGGGGGGTGGGTCTAATTTAAGCCCTATCCCCAAAATAAACCCTAGTTTTGGGGCAAGGCACACACCTAAAAATCAAGCTAGGACGGAGGTGGGGGTGTGGAGCTGCCCTATCCCCCTCACACCCACGTACCTTTTCTGCAGCCATGCCTGCATTTCTCAGTCACAGGGCTTTCTTGAAGGCCTGTGCAGCCATGCACTAAGCAACGGACTGAATCCATAGCTCGATACATGGCTGCTTATGCCTTCTTTAAAGGCCTAACTGCAGAATGCAGGCCCAAATGCAGCTGCAGAACTTCAGCTCCAGATGTAATGGACCAGCTAGGTGAGGCAGCCCGAGCTGGAGGTGGGGTAAGGCCTACCCTAAAAATAAGTCCTGGTGCATCTTTTGGAGCCCAAAAAAAAGACCCAGTCTTATTTTCAGGGAAACAGGGTAGTAGGACACAGTGGGGAGGAAAAAAGGAAAGAAAAGTGAGGGGGAGAAGGGAAAAAGAAAAGAAATGGCATTGACTTCTGGCTTCCTCTGTTGCAGTAGAAGGAAGCATTAACACTGAACCTCAACTTTGTACTTTTCCATAATATTACAAACAACAAATGAATCTAACCAGTAAAATCCAAAATCCTCTCCCCTTTTTTTTGACACCTTGCTAAGCACTAAGATGAACTTAGGTGAAAAGATATTACAAGCTCTCACGGTAATTTATCAAAAACAAACGGCACAACTTATTGTTAATGGAGGTTTGTCAGAGGTATTTACAATAGAAAAAGGTACTAGGCAGGGATGTCCACTATCACCGTTGTTGTTTGTTTTAACATTGGAAATATTGTTGATCAAAATTCGAGATTCGCAGGAAATTAAAGGAGTAGAAGTTAATAAAAAAGAATACAAGTTAAGAGCCTTTGCAGATGACTTGGTGGTTACTTTGTCGCAACCTATTAGTTCTGTAGTAAAGTTATTGCAGTTAATTCATCAGTATGGTTTGGTTTCGGGTTTTAGGATTAATGTTAACAAGACTAAAATCTTACCTAAAAATATGACTATTCAGGAGAAGCAGACTTTGGTTAACTTGACGGGTTTTGAAATTGTTAATAAGGTAAAATATTTGGGGGTGATGCTATCTGTCTCTAATGCAAAATTATTTAAAAACAATTATGACAGGTTGTGGGTTAGTGTACAGAAAGACTTGAAGAATTGGGAGAAGTTGCAACTATCTCTCATGGGAAGAATTGCAGTGATAAAAATGAATATTCTACCCAAGTTTCTTTTCCTGTTCCAAATGTTACCGATTTTGAAGAATGAGATTAATTTAAGTGAATGGCAGAAGGGTGTTAATAAATTTATTTGGGCAGGGAAAAAGCCAAGGGTCAAGTTTAAAATTATGCAAGATTTCCGTGAGAGAGGTGGACTCAAGGTACCGAATTTGAAATTATATTATGATGCTGTGGTTTTAACAATAATTAGTGACTGGGTAAACTTGACAAATCTTGAGATACTTCATTTAGAGGGATGGGACTTACTTTATGGGTGGCATGCCTATTTAATATTTAACAAAAAAGTGGACTGGGTTTTTAAATCTCACATTATAAGAATTTCTTTATTTAGGGTTTGGAAAAAGTATTACGAAAATGATTTTAAAGTACCATTATGGGCTATACCTTGGCATGCGATAGAGGGAATAAAAAGAGGTGTCAAAATGGACATGGTGTCTTATAGGCAATTACTCAGATGGGATGAACAAAATTGGCAATTAAAACTACGGGAGGATTTAGCACAAGAAAATATTATTTATTCTTGGTTCCAATATAGGCAACTAGCAGATAGATGGAAGGTGGATTGTAAGGTGGGCTTTCTTAGAGAAGATGAAAATCTTATTAAGCAAGTGAAGGATCAAAGACAAGCCCACATTAAGAGAATTTATGGGGTGCTAGTCGAACTGGATTCGGAAATGGAATTAATTAAAGATTGTATGATTAAATGGGCCCAAAACTTTGGCGAACCAGTCCCATTGGACATATGGGAAATCATATGGGTAAGAAATGTCAAATTTACGCAGGCACAGAATTTAAGGGAAAATTTTTACAAAATGTTTTATAGATGGCACCTTGGCCCACAAAAAATGTCTTTCATGTACCCTGACCTACAACCTAAATGTTGGAGATGTGACTGTTTGGATGCCACTTATTATCATATTTGGTGGTCGTGTAAAGAGATAAAAGCATTTTGGATTAAGATATGGTGGAATATCCAGAGAATTTTTAAAAGGAGGGTAAAATTTACTCCGCAGTTATTTTTGTTGGGTATAACTATTGATTGTGATACAAAGGAGGCTATATTGATGTTAAATTTGATCACAGCCGCAAGGCTGTTAGTAGGACAATATTGGAAGAAGGAATCCTTGCCTACACTGCAGGAATGGTTTTCCAAAGTGTCTTATCTGGCGGAAATGGCAAAGATTTCGGCTTTTTTAAAGGATCAAACGCAAGAGAACTTTCTTGCTGTTTGGGATAAATGGATAGAATTTATACAATTTAAATTGGATATTAAAAAATATCATGTTGCCTTTTTATAATTTTTATATATATATATATATATATATATATATATATATATATATATATATATATATATATATATATATATATATATCCTAGTTTTAAACTTTCATTTTCTTTTTACATATATATTTTCTAATTCCTTTTTAATTAAGCCTATATTCTGCTCTGGGAAGCTCGGGGGGGGGAAGGGGGGGTGTTCTGGGGGGGGTGCGGAAGGGGATGTTATGTTTAGTTTTTTGTGTATTTTGTATTTTTTGTTTTTGAATTGTTGTATTTTTTTTCTGTTTTTCTGTTTTTTTGTCTTTTTTGTAAAAATTTATAAAAATGTTCAATAAAAAAAAAGAGTACAATAAAATTATCTACAGTAGTGATAAAACATCCATGGCAATAATATTAATACTAAAAAAAGTCAGAAAGAAAATTTATTCTAAAACTATTTGATGCTAACATGCAGTCCGTGAACTTGAGAGTGTCTACCCATCAATCTCCAGAAGCTCGCCAAAGCGGCCTCATCTTTAACATCTTCTGAAAATCCATTATCATAGGGAGCAAATCTAATACCCGAGAGGGTATCCCATAGCACATGAGCCATTACGGAAACATCAGGACTGCCTCCTAGCCTCAGCTTCCCTTATTTCACAAAAGAAGGGAAACCCACATGTACACATCAAGCAGGAAATTTCTGACTGGATATTGTCCAATAAATACCTTCGTCCAAATCATATATGGCTTCCTAGGGCTTTAAATTGCAGTCAGAAGCTGTGAGTAAGAGGTCCAGGGCCTGCCATGCCAGTATAGTCTACTTCTGACAGCTAATGTCTGGAGGCCACTCCAGTTTGCACCTATTGTGGCTTTCAAGAGGATGTTAAAGGCAGATCCATGTACCATGTGATACTTTGCTCTTGTGAGATCTTCCACTGCAGGTACAGCCACGGCTAGTGCATCACCTGAAGCTGGGTAAAGGCTTTACTGGCCATGCCTTCCACCTGCCCATCTAGCAGTAGCTGTGAGACTAGGAAGACCCACATGTGATGGATTAGCACATTAGCAGTGCTTCCCCCTGAGAAGATAATGTTGGAGAGAGATACTCAGCAGGTAACGTGCATCTCTGTCTTGCTTGGGTTAAAACTGTTTCACTCCACTCAGACCCCAACAGCCTCCAGATACCAGGACAAGACTTTGTTTAGCTCAGGAGGACAAATTGCAGTTGGGTATCGCCAGGACAATAATCACACTGCACTTTGAACCAGTGGGTACAACTCTTCTAACAGTTTCATATCAGGAGACTGGTAGTATGTTTCCCCATTTACAGAATTTTATTAAAAGCTGTAAGTTTTAGAATCTGCATCTCACTTCATCAGATGAAAAACTAAACTGATCCTGGATTAAAACTGGGTTGGGAGGAGGTTGATGAAGAGAGGTTGATTGCACAGGTGCAGGTAACACAGGAGACTATTAGACCTTCAATGTGTTAAAACTCCATATTTGTAACCTTTTAACACATGTTGAGTTCGGCAATCTCTTGGTTAATCAATGGTCATTTTGAAACTTACAATGGGGAATCCTGGGAGGTTGAACTCTGATATTTAATTGCACAATTGAACAAGAGATTGCTGAGCCCACATATGTTAAGATTTCAGGCTGTCCCAAAGGTCTCAACAAACATAGAAACTGTCAGTGTGTATTTATGAACTGGAATAGCCATAGAAACAACCCAGCCAATGAGAACTGTTTTTGATTAAGACTAAGGTGATCAACTTTTTTACAATGAAAAGGAGAACACAAATAAATTGAAGAAAAAATACCGTAAAAACTGGCTTGGCCCATGGAAGGTCAACCGCCTGCCGTACCCCCACCTGTAGCTGCCCCGCCAGCACTGCTGCCCTGACATGTAGAGCGGGCCCCGTGGCTCCCAAAGGACCAGCCGCGCCAGCTCCGGCCCTGGGAGGCAGCCTGCCGTCGACACACCCCACCTGCAGCCGCCCCACCAGCACCACCGCCCACCCTGCACAGCCCCGTGTAGAGAGGGCCCTGCGGCTCCCACAGCACGGTATCTTCGGAACTAACTAGGAGATGGTGTAGTTGGGTAGCAGGCAGGGGTGCTAACTTCCTGCCAATTCACCTTCGCTGCAGACAACTTGCATGTGCAAAATTTGCCGGTTGGGTGTTTTGGCACGCTCAGCAGCAATTCCTATTGGCTTTCAAAAGCCTATAGGTGGAGTAGCACAGCTCATGCAAAAGTTGAAAAAAAACCCATCAAAAAAAGGTGCCGGAACGCCGTTCTGAGCGTTCTATGAGGAAAAAAAAGAGCCCTGCAGATTAGTCTTCAAATATCGAAAAGGAGGACATGAAGGAGGACACTTTTTGAGGGAGGACAGAACTTACAAAAGGAGGACTGTCCTCCCTAAAGGAGGACAGTTGGTCACCATATTAAGACACAATATTGGCTATGTGACGTATGTGATCCAGCCTAGGTCTGGGTGTGTCTTAGTCTTCTCTGTGTTGTTTCTTCTGATCTCCAAGTTGAGTTGTTGATGTTCCCCAGAGCTGAATGAAACTGTATGTATCATGTTTATATATGTTTTATAGATAAAGTTTTTCTAAACCATGCCTCCTGCTCATTTTGAATGTGCGCTTATTTGGGGGGCTTATTTTTGCACTGGAAAACTGTAAAACTCTAATAGAAACGGAGTATATGTTGGAATCTGGCAGAATTTTCATACTTTTCACATTGACCTTTTAAACAATGGGGGCTTTCTCCCTTAATCTACTTCGGTGGAAATTCTTGTGTTGGTTCTTTGGAGTAGATGAAGGACAACGCCGTTTAATAATGTTTGCAGAACTGGCTTATAAATTCTGTGCCTGCCTAAATACTGAAAGTATAATCCTATCTTAATGATAGTCTTTTATTTTCTTTAGGTTCTCTCCTCCCCTATTATTCATTACCAATTTATGCTGAAAAACTAAAACTGGAATTAAATCACCATATAATCACAGAAGGTACAATGGCTAGATTAATTTGGTTGTGAAGTCCCTTTCTATTAACCTTTACAAAGGTCCAAACCTATTGATTCACCCTTGTCCCTTTTCCCAGCAATGGACAAATCAGCACTTTTGACACGTCAGTTATTAATACGCAGTTTAAATGCCTTTTTAAAAATCCTTTCTCTTTCAGAAAACTAATTTTAATCTCAACAGAACACAGTTCTTCCCCAAAATAACGACAACCATTTTATTCAATCAATTGTATATTTTATTTATATATATTTATTTCCTGGGCCGTCCCCGGGCCGCTCCCTGAGCAGCCAAGCCGGCCACTTTCTGCACCGCCGGCCGGTCAGGTCTGTCCACTGGCGACGCAGGAGCCTCCCGTGCTAACGGAGGCTTCAGTGGGCCGCTGCCTGGGGGATCCCAGGGCTTCCCTGCACAGCTCCCCAGCCATGTGAGCCTCGGACTGAGCCAGCCTGGGAAAGGGATGTCCTGGCTGCCCTTCTCCCAGGGGGTGGGGCAGAGAGAGGGGGGGGAAGTGCAAGTGCCTCTCTGTCTCTGTCTCTGTCTCTGTCTCTGTCTCTGTCTGTCTATCTGTCTGTCTGTCTGTCTGTCTGTCTGTCTGTCTCTCTCTCTCTCTCTCTCTCTCTCTCTCCCTCTCTCTCTCTCTGCAAATGGAGGAGCGGGCTCCAGATCCGCAGGGGATGGCTCAAAGAGCCGCATGCAGCTCCGAAGCTGCGGGTTGCTGACCTGTGCTCTATACAAAGTTCCTCCCATTCAAGCATGTTAGATGCTGCCTTTCATACAGATATAATTTAGAGCGTTTGCATTTAGTACAGCTATACACAATATACAAAATTATTCTCATGTCCAGTTTATATAGGACTCATGAATGGGGCAAATAAATCCTTTGTGGTATATAAAAATTCAAAGAGCATGTGATCAGATCCTGAGAATTTCTTATTGGAATTATGCACTGACACACTTTTTTCTTCTGCATACTATATTTATGAAAAAATAGACTATGTCCTATGAAAAACTTTGAGATATTTTAGTATGCTAATGAAGCACCATACTTCTTAATATGGTAATGAAGCTATAAAACTAGTACCTTCCAAATTACTATCAGTTGGAAGATTGATTTTGAAGATTTTGGTAAATGAATTAACACTTCAAACATTAGTCAGAACAACAAAATCAGGGCTTCAAACACTGATGATGTCCCAAAACCCTTTCATTTAAAACACTTAACATTTAAAAAATACACTACTCCATATTTGTGCATGTTTCACAATCATTACTGCACATCTTAACACATTTTGGAAGTTGTGCATAGCAGCAATTAAAAAAGAAAAACTTAAAATGCAAGTCCATAGAATTTAGAACTTTAATATTTAATATTTAAACACCAATACTGTATTGCTTCAAGTTATAGGAAACTATTAATCTTAAATTTAAAAGTATTTTTCAAAAATTTAAATAACTGTTTAAAAATTGCTGTTACATGACTATAATAATTCATAACGAGATTTAATGCTATTCATCATGCAGTCTGATATGCTGGAAATCTTCTGCTGCATTTCCAGCACTTCATTTCCTGAATAGTGTAAAAGTCTTTGGGGAGAGGTGTGTTCAAGCAGACGGTTAAGAAGGCTCCAAATCTCTCCCGTACAGGAGACCTCCGTTTCACATCCATCTAAGATGAAAAGAAAACCGGTTTGCAAAGACATTCTAGGTGAGATCAAATTAAAGCCCATTCAGACAGAGATAGTCTGCAACTCTTGCTCGTGTAGGTAACCGTATAACTATAGACAGTCCACCCACTAACTGGAGAGATTTAGCCAGCAGGATAAAGAGATGAAAACTAGGTCTGAAATATTAGTATTTCGGAGAGATTAGCCTCTTTTTATGATTTACCTCCTAAAAGCTGGTTAGTGCTCTTGGAATGTACACACACACACAATTATGCATGCGCGTGCACACACACACACACACACACACACGATTAGCAATTAATTTTATTTTCAGATAAAATGTTATTGTACTTGGGAATAGTCAAAGGTCATGGATCAAGTGAACAGGTTTAGAAGAAAATGGCAACCAATTTGGTATAACTTTGTGCATTTGCTACTTTTCTGATATTTTGGGCCTTTATTTTTGTTGTTTCAGAATGCAGCAGCATAGAAATACCATCAATAAATGCATACTTCAGCATATACAAGAATCATATGACCATATACATTAATTATCCAGAAGAAACAGAGCAATCAAGGATACTGCCAAAAGATACGTGGGCATTCAGTTTCACCTGGGATTCAAATCGCATAGAAGCATGCTTTCTTACACTTTATATTAAACTCAAGAAAACAGGTAGCATAGGTTTAAATGATATTTACCTGCCATAACTGCATTTTCATTTGCAGATATTAATGTCTCATCCATTTGCTCCATTCCACGAGCTTTTACCTGCACATATTAAAGGGAGGGGGAGAGAGAATGCAGAAAACCGAAAGCCGAAGGTTCTGCTCAGAATAGTCCAATGCTTAAAAGCTGTGTTTGGAACCTGCCTTCTGGCATACCCAGTGCTTTTTTTCTAAAAAAAAGAAGAAAAAAAAAAGGGTGCCGGAACTCACACATGTCATACAACCCGCTTTGCCTACCCTACAAGGTTCCAACCAAAAAAGGTGCCGGAACTCCGTTCTGGGCGTTCTATGAGAAAAAAAGCCCTGGGTATACCATACGTTTTCCTAAACACGGCCTCCAACAGTATCCTTAGTTTCTGAAATCAAAGTGATAGTGTACTGGTGTGTCGTGGTTAAAGTGCAATATTACAAACCAACTCTGTCCACAGCCTGGAGTTCAGTCCTGATGGGACTGAAGGTTGACTCAGCCTTTCATCCTTCCAAGGTTGGTAAAATGAGGACCTAGATTGTTGGGGGCCATATGCAAATTATGCTTCCACATTGTAAACCGCCCAGAGAGTGCTTTAAAGCAGGGCTTTTCAACCTTTTCACAGAATGTACCACTTTTAGGACATGACAATATTTGAGTACCACCAGTGCTTAGCATGGTGTCAAAAAAAGGGGAGGATTTTGGATTTTACTGGTTAGATTCATTTGTTGTTATAGAAATGGGTCCCTTTACACTGACAAATATATGATGAATTTCTCAATATTCATTAATATGCACCACTGCCTTGATGGTCAAGTGGCTGGTCAGCCCTATTCCCTCTCTCCCTCTCCTCTCTTTCTCTTCACCCTTTGCTTGCAAAAGCCCTCATCTCTCTCACACACACTTCCCCCCAAAATCATTTCCTCACACACACCTCCCCAGAAGCCTTTCCTCTCTGCCTGTCACACACACACTTCCCCAAAAGCCTTTCCTCTCTCTCTCTCTCTTCTCTGACAAAAGCCTTTTCTCTTCTGACTCTTTCTCCAGAGTCTTTTTCTCTCCCTCTCCCACCAAAATTGCCTCCTTTTATAGCCTCTCCTCTCTCGGCCCCCCTCCTCCTTTCTCTTCCAGTTGTGCTGGAAATGCCGTTCCTGGGGCCTTTCTCTCGCCCCAGCAGCCCTGAAGCTCCTGAGGACTCTCTCAGGGCAAGTCCTGTGCTGGGCCACTTTAGCTCCTTCCCTTCCCCCACTATGCTTGTCTAGGCTAGGCAGGGTCAGGTACCACCTGCCAGGTGCCAATGTACACGTCCCACCGGTTGAAAAGCCCTGCTGTAAAGGACTTTGGGCTTATAGGCCTAAATGCTACCACTATTAACAGAATCAAGTCAAAAGGTGTGCACTGAGTGGATTCAGGTATCACTTGAAGAGCTGAACTTAGAAAAAATACCAGTTTGTCTTCATCCCGATTTCCTTGTATGTATGGATACTACTTGGATTTTCATCTGAATGCCTGTAAGAGCCCTCTAGAACTCTTACAAGTGAATAAGCCCGAGAGACAATCCAAAATACCCCAGGCAAAAGAATATGATTAAAATAAAATGGCTCAAAAATAAAAAAAATCTTGAGGGTGACTGTGGAAAGGGAGAAAGGGAAATTAAACAGTATTAGGGGATAAAGAACATGGGCGTTAAATTACTTCAAACACTTCTTTGAGCTCTTATATTTATGGCTACGGGTTCCAGGCGACAGAGATCCTTTGGTTGGAGTGGTTATGAGCTGGATAAAAAAAGAGGAAAAAATTTGCTCAAAATCATAGGAATCATCTATAACTCTGTGATTTATTTTTTTGTAAGCAAAATGATAAACCTGGGGTCCTTTATTTAAGAAAAAGGCCAATTCAACGGGACCGAACTTCCAGAGGCAGTTAATACTTCTTCAACAAACTAGCTGAGTTAGGAAAAAAGAACACTGTTGAAATGACTTAAGGCTCTACAGAATGGGTAATCCATGTAATAGCGATAGAAGAATCAATTCATGCTATGTCTTTTCACACCAACGGTGTGCAATTATAATTTAATTTTAGAATCAACATACCCTACATGAAAAAAGTCCTTTCTGTACATACATAGGTATGTTTGCTTCGCAACTACATGTTTTCTTGTGTTATATTGTACAGTGTTTGGGAGATCCCAAAGGCTTGCATAAAGTAGCTGGCCAAACTGGATCTGCAGTAGAAAAACCCTGGTGTATAAGTGGTGGTGGTGGAAACTTTTGTTAACGCAGAAGATACTCAGAATCCAAGATAAGGCTTTTCTACAGATGAATTCATTACGAAGTCCCTGCATCGCTGGTGTTATTTTCTAAGAAAAAACTAAGAATAAACTGGGTACTACCTTGGCTTGGTGACTAGGTGAAGATTTAACATTTCGCAAAGATTGAGAGTCATTATTGTAAGGATGAATTCTAAGTACAGGACTTCGTCGGTCAATGTCATCTGCCAATTCTTCTTTGTAGATTGGATTGGCAAAGGAGACTCTTTGGTTCTGTTCACACATATTTAACAAATAACTATTTAAATAAATTTGAAATATCATACAAATGCAAAAGCTACAATGTCGAGGCTTGGAAGTTCTATTACCTACATGTTGGTTTTAAAATACTGATGCTTCAAAACTTCCAAAGGAAATCTGTAGACATTTTGTTTATACGTCAATGCTTCCATAAAAACAAACAATTAGATTAGTATTATCTCTAAAGAAAGATAGAAATCTATCACAGGAACCTTAAACGTGCTAGTGTGCATCTTGGTAAAAGCAAATTTATCTAAGTTCCCACAAAGTGGACATGGTCTCCCAGGAAAGTCATCTCCCTACAATGGCAAATGAATTAATGTAACCCTGAACATTATTACAGTGATAGTTTTAAACTGCAATACTAAACCTATTTCATTGACCAGGCAGAACCTATTGGCAACCTATAGGGAAATGTATTGCTAACAGTACTGGGCAACCTAAGTGATAGGAAGCACATAATTAAGAGAGGAATAATGAACTTCTTCCTTTTTTTATATTTCACTGAAATTCAGGTTAAACATTTGAGACCATGGATTTGCATTATATTTTGGACAGAAAGATACTCAGTGCTACCTTTTGTTAACTCACTGAGATTCTTTCACTTATTACAACACTTTGTAAGTAGTTTTAACAAGGACATACGCATTTAAGCTTCACTGAGTGGTAATCAGATAGAACTGACTGCCCTGTTTAGTACCATTCAGTTATGATGGTGCTGAAATAGTAGATTTACAACCAGACCTGGCATTTATTAACAGTTGCAGCATCTTGTGATCACCCTTTCTAGACTTCCGACAAGCAAAAGTCAATAGAGAAACTGGCAGTAAAACTGCAAACCGCAGTCATGTGATCTCTCACTTTATGACCAAAGGTGATTCACTTAACAACTGTGGAAGTGAGGCAGTAAACCCATCATGACTTATGGTGTCTCACTTAATGACTGCATTGCTTAGCAACAGAGTTGCTGATCCCAATTGTGGTCATTACGTGGTGACTACCTATAGCAAGCAAGGGCTGTATCCATTAAAGGACTAAATTATTTGGGGCTGTGTCCAATGCATTGCATCGTTTGAGTGCCATTAGCACTTCATTTAGGCTCTGTATGAATTACTTCAAATGCCCAACCATCAGGCAGAAGAAATAATTTGAAAAATAAAAAAATGTGTTAAGTAGGATATAAATGTTCAAGTGGCTATATACAATTACATTAATATAATGTAACCTATAAACCAACCAAGATATGAAGAGAATATTTCAGTGCTGATCAAAAGATCTCCCTTCATCCCACAGTCTTAAAGCTTTATTGCTTCAGGCATGCCACATAGATTTTAGTAGCTTAAGAGGGTAGCAAATCGTGGATTTAATATGGCAAAGAAGCTAAAAATATATTTAGGGTTTCAAGGAGCTTGTGTAATATGCAAATAATCACATGTAGAATGGCAGAAATTGCTTAAAAGTACCTTGTTTGGAGGTGGTGATGAATCGTGTTCCGTTTTTATTACTCTTTTTAGAATGCTAGTCGAAGGAGAAGCTGTTGGGGACCACAGAAAGCGAGTCTGTGTCCCAGGACTTCCACTGACCTTGGCTAAAGAGAGAATATCAATCTCTTTCAATTTTGGTGGAGAATCCAAGACTAAGGTTGGAAGTTCACTTGGTGCATATGCTGCATTATCTTCTGCGCCCTCTTCTTCATTCGTCTCATTTTCCTGCAGCTCTGCTACCTCGATTGCAGATGTTACCCTAGTTTCTCCTACAGTATTCTGAACGGCTCTTTCACGAGGCTGCGTTCCCACAATTTGGGTAATTTTGAACTCTATATCTGTTTTGCTTTCCAACTGACCATTCTGGTCATTATTGCTTTCCATTATAACGTCTCCTTCTACATCTGGTTCTAAACCCTGATCCTGAGCATTGACGTCTTCTAAATGAAAATCCATTGAAACTGGTTCTAAAGCCTGATTCTGAGGACTGATGGCTTCTGAATGAGAATCCACTGAACCTGGTTCTGAAGAGCGATCCTGAGCATTGAGCTCTTCTGAAAAAGAATCCACTGAACCTGGTTCTGAAGACCAATCCTGAGCACTGAGGTCTTCTGAATAAGACTCCACTGAACCTGGTTCTGAAGACCAATCCTGAGCACTGAGGTCTTCTGAATAAGACTCCACTGAACCTGGTTCTGAAGACAGATCCTGAGCTCTGAGCTCTTCTGAGTAAGACTCCACTGAACCTGGTTCTGAAGAATGATCCTGAGCACTGAGCTCTTCTGAATGAGGATCCACTGAACTGGATTCTGAAATTGTTTCAGAGGAAGGAAGATCTATAATTTCTGCAATTGGCTGGTCACATTCACTTTGGACCCGTGCTAATTTCTCCAGTTCAGCATTGGGCGCATTGTCTCTTGGTCCGCCACTGACAGATTCAGCAACAGTGCTGGCCTCTTTCACATCAGCACCGTCCTCAACGAAAGGCAGCGGAGTGCTTGTGGCACAAGGCTCTGCGCTCAGCCTCTCTGCCAAAGGAATCTCTTCAGCCTTAGGAATCAAGGTCAGCGCCATGGTTACTTTGCTAAGGACCTTCCTTTGTTCTTTTAACTTTGGTTCTGGAGCGCTTGCCTTTTTCGGCTGAGGGGACAACTTTTCCACTTGGGGAGACAGTTTTTCATCACAGCATTTGCAGCTCCTGGATTTCCTTGCCCGCTTGCTTCTTTTGTGCTGGCATTCAGACATATCTAAAAACGTCTTGGGTGAAGTAAAGGCACTGACAGCGGTAGCAGAAGCATCGTCTTCTGAAACGCCACTTGGGTTGTTAGGTACCACAGAACGTGTGTCAAGAGGACTAGGTTCCTGCCTGTTTTCCAAAATAGGCTCCGAAGTGGATTCTCTCCTGTTAGCAGGCTTTCTTCTCCCTGTATCTGAAGAGGCTCTAGGATGTGAAGCGCCTGCATTTTCCTTAAGGTCCACACAGGGACTTAATGGGAGAGTACCTTTTTCTTCCTTTGCATTAGTCGACATTGAAGGCATTTCTGTCTCTCTGCCAGGAGGTATTTTCTGTTTTCCTACTGACTGGGTTTGGATTTCTATTGCAGCTTGGGAACAAAACTCTTGGCTCTCTGGCTCTTCCTTAGCTTCGTTCCCAGAGGAATCATATTTTCTCAATTTCCCAAACCATTTCCTCTTCGCTCCTTCCTCTCTTGTTTCACTGCTATCAGATTCAGACTTTTCCAAATTGGTAAGTAATCCTTCTGAAGCTGCTCTTCTTGTATGATAATGTGGACATAATTTTAGTTTCTCCACAGGCGCATCTTGGCCTGATTCTTCAAAGTCAGAGGCAGGACTACGTTCAGATTTCCCAAGACTCGTGTTCAATTCCTCCTGGCTGTTCTCTCTAGCGTCTATGTTTCCTGTAGCACTGTTTACATCCACACGTCCTGACGCATCAGAGGCTTTTTCAAGTGTTGCAGCCTTTTCTTTTTGCCCAGGAGTCTCCCTATTTTGTGCCATCTTCCTTGGCAGAATTTTTTCATCGTCTTTGAAAAGCTGATGACTTCTTGCCTGTTTTTTCTGCAATTAAACAGTTTGCAACATTAAATATTATGAGTTTCCTGCTTGCATTGTTAATATACCACCCTCCTTACAAAATGATTGCATCAAGCATTCTGCAAGATTTCTAGTCACCCATCCATGTATCTGTTTAACAAGATTACGATACTTTAATTACTTGGGAAGACATTGGTTTCAGTAATTTTTTTTCTATCCCTCTCTAAATGTGCTCAGTATTGCTTTAATGAAAATGATAAGAACACAATGGTATTAAATTGTTCTATTTAAAGATAAGCAGCTCTATTAAGAATGAAATTAATTTTTTCTCCAATTGAACATCCAAAACCACAGGATTACCACAATGTATGCACGCCTAAATAATTCTACATGTATCTTATTATGTTATAAGCTCACTCAAATATAATGCTATAATGTTTCTTCCACAATATTTCAGAAAGCCTGCTTTATTGCTTAAGTTTTGTAAAAAGAAAAGAAGAAAAAAATAACAGATTTATTTCTGGTAATATCCTTTCATACAAATCCTTTACCAAGAAAGCTCTAAAAATGCCATTACCCCAAACACAAATAACATTAAATGTAGAAATATACCTGGGCTGTTAATTTGTCCTCTTTCTCTTCATGTTCTTCCTTTATGTCAACTACGATTGGTTTTTCCCTACAACAAAGATCAGTGGTTAAGATGCACTAAAAATGCAAAACCCTTTTTAGAATTCTCTTCTGGTACTTATTACTTACAAAGAATCCTCCTGGTTCTGGGTGTCCCGGGAAAACAGAACAGCATCTTGAGATGTATCCAAATTATTATACATGACAGGAATATCATCCCTGAAAAAAAATGTACAGAAAGGAACACACACTAAACCAAACTTCTATTTCTGAAGAATACATTGGAGGAAATTGAATTCTTTCTTCATCAAAGCACCAGAGAGCAGGACAAGAAACAAGGGTTGGACACTGATCAAAGACAGAAGCAACCTGGAATTAAGGAGAAACTTCCTGGCAGTGAGGACAATTAACCAGTGGAACAGCTTGCCTCCAGAAATCTAGACAGTCACTTGTCTGAGATGGTATGGGTTCTCCTGCTTGAGCAGGGGACTGGACTAGAAGACCTCCAAGGTCCCTTCCAGTTCTATTCTATTCTGTTCTATTCTATTCTCCATCCTATTTAAAAATAATTCTAGCTGAGAATTCTAGAAAATTTCTAGATTGAAAACATCTAGAGGGCACCAAGTGGAGAAGGGTGTTTTATGGTGAACTCTTTTTTACACAAAAGTCTGGTTTAGAAAGCCCCTTGCTAGTTATGGAGTGGATATGCAGAGAAAAAGTATGGGAAACTATATTCTTTAGTTTCTTCGAGGCCATGAAAGCCTGTTCATTGCAAAACCTCCTTCTAATCTTTCCTGGCCACAAAAAGAGTAAATTTTAAAGTCAGAAGCTGGCTGGCAAAATAGAACAGGTGTTATGACTCCTAAACATTAAAAAAAAAAGAGAGAGAGAGAGAGAGAGAGAGAGAGAGAGAGAGAGAGAGAGAGAGAGAGAGAGAAAGAGAGAGAGAGAGAGAGAGAGAAACTGTTAATATGATGAATATAATGTTACAAACCTTTTAGTTCTCAGAACTTCTTTTTGGTGCTCTGTTAAGACTCTTTCTTTTGCTTCTAGAGGAATGAATACGAAGTCCATAGTATTTTCTTCTTCCAAAGGAATGTTTTTGGGATTTGATTTTGACCCTGAGAATTCTAGCTTTATCTTGTACAAGGAAAAAATATCAAAAAGAGAAAAATAGCTTATAAATAGCATGGAGTCTGTATCTCGGGCATAACACAAGAAAGAAATGATGCCCATCCTATTTATAGATGAATAGGAGACCTTTCTGTTCATGGCTGGGAAGGAGAACACGTTTGTAAATTGTAAATTTAACCACCATTTTAAACAAAAGGCCCCATAGCTAGACTATCATGATGTGCCTGTGTCTCCGCATTGATACTTCCTGTAACTACTAGAGATACAACTGCCAAAACTGTAATTTGATCAGTAAACTTCTATGACTTACTTTTTTAGGTGCAATGTGAACATTAATAATTTCTTCCTCTGGTTCATTGATTTGGGCGAGGAATGAGTCCCTTTTTCCATTAGGATTTACAGTCATCCCACTGATGTTTGCATCCCACTGGGAATTCTCTGTCTGTTTTAAGATATTTAACCATAACTTAATACAAATAAATTAAAATACCAATAATACAGCTGAAGTAAAGTTATATAAGTTGGTATTTACTCAAAGAAAACTGCTAATAAAATTCCAAAGTGGAATTAAAAAAAAATCAGAACTTACATAATCAGAATATGCAGTACTACTTCCCTCCATTATCTCACAGCTCTCAAAAACAGGCAGTAAGAGTATGAATTTTTGTTTTGCTTTATTTAAAACAGACCTGCAAGGAAACATAAGACAGCAGTGAAAATTTGGAAATTGTGGTGATATTTAAAAATGTGTTTTCGTCAAAATACTGACAGTTGAAGTTTAAAAAGCACTTTTTTCTTTAGTATTTATTCCACATCTTCAATTTCTGCTACCTAATATTCATATTAAAATAAAAAAACAGATACTAATACAAATAGAAAACCTGTTTTGCCTGAATGATAAAGTAATATAATAATGTATATATTGCTCATTATACATTTGTAATTTGGGAGATTTATCCAAGTAAACATGTTATTAAGAATAGGTTTACTACATTGAGTAAATCTATGTTGAGATACAGTATTACTGTAATTCCAGGCCAGATGATATTTCAATAAAATATGCTCAGAATTCACACAGAGGTTATTTTCACATATACTTTTCTCAAATAATTACTTCCTCATTCATGTCTATCTTAATTTAAAAAATTGAAGAGAAAAAGATTAAGCATTTATAGTTGTAATTTCATACAGAATTCCATTATCAAGTTTACGGTTACAGGAAGTTCTGAACACAAAACTACCAGGACAGAATGGCCTGAGCTCCAGATCTTTTTAAAAATTCCTAACCCTCCTAAGGCTGATTCTAGTTCTTAAGCAAAAATAAAAGTGAAACATTAATTCACAGCAAAAACCAACTCTCATAAAGTATAATGTCACAATACTGCATTGTTTAGCGATATCGACCCCAGCAGTCCTTGTTGCCAACATGAAGCGAGGATTGCAGGTTATTAAGCGAAGGGCTTATGTAACTGCAGCTTGTGACTTCCTGCAGACTCCCCAAAAAACAGTTGTCATAGAAGCCAGCAGGAAGTCACACGTTCCAAGCAAGCCAGCGGGCAGATGAGCACTGTGGAGTCCACCTAGCTAAAGGAGTGGCTGCCGAAGCAGCTTTGTGGTTAAGCAGAGGCACAGGGGTGGCTGCTGTGGCATGGTGCATGTATGGTCAGGAGCACGTGCGGCAAACGGCATGCAGGTAGTTGCTGTGGTGAGACTATGGCCAGCACTGGCTGCTGCAGCCTGGTGTTTGCGTGACAAGGCGCTATTGAATATGAATGGGGGAATGCTGCAGATGTGCACAGCATGGAGAACTACATCCCCGGGACCTCGTACCCCATAGCGGGAAAATATTGGGACCAGGAGTGACTGACAGGAGTGATTTGTGACCCTTGCTGCTGACTTTGTTTGTACAAAGCTGGCAGGGAAGATTGCAAATGGCAAGGATGGGATGGTGGGATGCAGCAACTGTCTGAAATGCAAGGTGGCTGCCAAGTGATTACGTAACTGTCGGGGGTCCTGAGATAAGTTATGGAAATTGTTTGTACTTGGCTTGTTGAAGAGGAAAATCATTTTTTATATATCCTTTTTCTTATTCTTTCTTTTCTTTCTCTCCCCCTTTTCTCTGCACATTTTTTCACTTTGTATATCTTATATTTTTCTTGGATCCATATTATTTTTTTAATTTTTGCATATTTAAATTTTAATAAAATTATTGACAAAAAACCAAGATGTGATCCATCCTTCCTATCAGTTTTGGCTCCGGGGTGCTCAATTGAATGAAGCAACTGGTAGAAATAATAATGAATTTCTTCTTTCTTGTACTGCATCTTTGCAGGTGACTACAGGGGGATGCATCAAAGCACAGGAGAAACTTACTGTGTCATAAATAGAAGGAATGTCTAGATCCAAATTATGCCATGTTATGTGATGGCATGTCTGTTTCCAGGTTGCAAAATGTTATAATAAGCACAAGAATAAAAGATGTCTTACTTTAATTCTTCAGGGTATGTCAGGGTTACCGCTTTTCCAAATGTTGCGTTCCAAAACTGAGCAGCATGGCTGCTTATCTGTTTATTGTTATTTAAAAACATTATGGTCAATAATGGACAAAGCTCTTCCAGGAGCTCACTGTTAAAGGATCCAGTATAGTTTGACTGCACACAAGTAAGGCTGTCTGCCAGTAACTTTTCACACTGAAAGCAAAAATGGTACAAGAAACATTAATTTAAAAATATATACGATGTATTAATCTCATTTGTATTTACATAACAAATATACTGCCCTTTCTAATTTATATCCCACTCTGATTAAATTTATAACAATTAAAACCCAAAACAAGTTATTTTCCAAAAGCAATTAGGCCATCGGCAACTTGGTTGAACGGTGATGGCTAGATGGACACACCTGTGCAGTGTGATTATTTTACTTATTTATTTACAAACCATAAATGCAAAAAGCCTAGGTGGTTCATTGCATCGCCAGTAGAAATAACAATAAAAACACATCACCCGTACATGAAGCAGCACATTTCCCATCATGTCACTATAGTGGACCCCCAACGATTGGCTCCTCCCCATCTTAGCCTGATGCCTTCGTAAAAATAAGGAGATAGCTTGTCATTGCATAAACCTCTATAGGATTCTTAATTCTTGAGTTCTCAGTCTTACTCAACTAGCAGGAGAATAACCATCAACTGAACCTCCCCAAGGCAAAGATTTGCATGCATGAAGGAGGATATTACCCTTATCCCTACCTGTACAGAATATCTCCTCCAGATTTGGAGAGCCACGCAAGGAGGGGCAGATCTGGCCTTATCAACCACATTTGGCATTGATATAGAAAGCCACTGGTAACCAGGGTAGCCCTTGAAGGACTTGTAACCATTTTGCCTGTAAAAATCTACTTAAAGCATTTTCTGCTGCATTCTGAACCAATTGCAATTTCTGAAGGCCATTCAAATGACAAAACTCGACCACACTATCGATTAATTAAGATAAAAAGATGACAATCTGATATTGTTGTCAGAATTGATCCCCTATTCTGTGCAAGTGTATGCTAGCTAGAAATGCCACTGCAGTTTGCAGTATTCTCCCAGCCAAATCTGCATTTCTGTTCCAGAATGTGTCTGAATTGGGAATAACCCTCATAAAGAAATAAGTGAGCATTATTTATTTATTTAAAGGATTTATAAACTGACTCACTTCAGGGGCTTTAGGTGATGTACCAAGTCAAATATAGCACAAAGCACAATGAAGTGAAACAAGCATATGTTTCTGTTATATGTATTAATACTATATTTGTTCTAAAATTAGCTCCAGAACAGCAGGATATTGAATATTGTTAGTATTTAAAAGACAGACAAATAGCTTTTTTCCAGATATAAAGTACCTTGCTATCGAGTCCATAACTCATTCTAGATGGATTAGCAGACCTTGTAGAAAAAAATTATTTTCATGTTAAGTATTTATTCATCGATAAAGTAACAACTGCAGTTTGATTACAATCTTAAGCTGAAATACAATTAATAGCTAAGATATACAGGAGATACTGGTTTAGTTAATAGGATACCCTAAATATATTGAGTACATTAAGAAATGATCTAAGTGCTGAGCACCAGTAACTATTCAGCTATGATATATACTTTATATCCTGCCTTTTTATCCCAAATGTTCGTCCAGGTAACACCAAAAATGAAAATAAAAACAGAATTACAACACTAAGCTACTCAAGTCCATTAAAAAAAACAACAGCAGCAAAGAGCATCCCAGGAAAGTAAAGCTTTTTCCATTTATTTTTTTTTTAGAAAGCAAAAAGAAAATTCTTTGTTTGCTGCCAGAAGATAACAGAGACAAACCCATCTACCAATGGGGGAATAGTCACTGAGAATGCCTTCCTGTACCAAATGTATAGGGACTCACCTGAAGAAGTTAAAAATTAAGGTTTGTGTATAAAACTTCATAATACTTTGACAGTCACATAAAAACAGTTGTTAGACAGTTTATCTTTGTTATGAAGGTTACATATTGTCTGTAACTTCCCAATCAAGAATCTGGACTGACATCTTCAACTGGCTGAGCTTTCTAAACAATTTTTAAAGGCAGCCCAGCACTTTCAAATGAGATGCAGCTGAGGCAAATATAATGATGTCCATCTTAACACATATCAAGGAATGGGCCAATATAATTAAAAAAAACCCTCAGAGAAGTGTTAAGATTAAATTGTAGTCTTGTACATACTTCCAGTCTGTAGCTCAATTAAGAAAACCTTAACTGCAAAATCCTGCAATTTTTTAAACAGATTTGTTAATGAGCATATGAATAATAAAAAAGGGCTGCAATCAAAACCCCCAAATCCCATTTTTGTTTTAAGACAAAGCATTTCTGTAATAATTGTCTTTACTTTCTTAGCAGAAAAATGAGTTTTCCTTGGTGAAGCTTGCATATTGTGCTTGTAATAAATGTTTTGATTACAAAGCTAGTTGGTTCAAGTAATTTAAAAACTGATATAAAAACTGGATTTAAAATGTGATGTTTTAACTACAGAGCTTTAAATTAGGATGCCACCAATAAAGTATATCTAGAAAGTCAAGAGCAGTAGTAGTCAAGGGGTTTCCCATGATTACGATTACATGCTCTCAAATCATTGTCACCTGTTAGGAACCACAGAGATGCTTTTTCTCTGGAATCATCTTTCACTAACCTGGTCCTTCAGAGGTCTTCCAAGGGTGCATGTACCACCCCTGTACCTTCTCCATACATCTTTAATCTGCTTTTGACCTCTTTTAATTTGCAGTTTTTATGAAAGGCCATTCAAAGCCACATGGATAACCTTCCACAATTACTCCAAATTACTTCTATGAGGCAATTTCATCACAATAACATCGGTGTGCAACTGCTGCGTCGGCAAAACCCAGCCCCATAATGTACAAATGCTTACGTTATTTTTTCATATAATGCCGCTAAGGGTTTTGCAATAAATCCAAAGACAGCTCTGACGACAGAAGGCAAAGAGATGTGGCCAATGATATTTTGAAGAACGCCGACAATCTCAAAACCCACAGGAGCTAATTCTTCAAAACCAGACTGCTCAGATGCAAGCCTCTGAAGAGAGTTTGTCAATATTATCAGAAGTTTAATTAAAGAAGACAGCTTGCCAAGGGGATCTTTCTTCTTTTTGGCCCAGTCCATTGGTGTCTGTGGAGCTGAAGAACAATTTAACATTAATTTTGTTTGAAACATACAAACTTAGTAGCATTTTAAAATGAAAAGCTATTCAGATTCCATCATACCTCATACCTATTAGTTGTAATATCATTTGTGGAAGGCAAAAGATCATGCTTCTCTGTTACCATGTTCTAAAGCCAAGCTTGTTTTTATTAAAAGCACAAGTTCATGAGCAATGGGGCACTGGAGGGAGTAAAACAAAGGATACCGTATTTATGACAGCTGCATCTGATTCTGGGGCCATGTGATTGCCACTTGTGACCTTTCCAGCCAGCGTCTGACAAGCAAAGTTAACAGAAGAATTTGGCTTTTGGCAAAAAGGGCCCAAAATTGGTTTGTGGCCATGTGATGGCTCAATAACTGCATGGCTGAGCGACAGATGTCCTGGTTGTAACTGTAGTTGTAAGGTTGTGGAAGAGGTGAAAAAAAATATAAAAGGAAGAAAAAAAGAGCTAGTCTATTCAATATTGCAACATTTCATACTAGCAAATCTTACATCTATTTGCTGGCTGATATTTCTTATCATAAGGTGCAAAATTGATGCATTCAACCATGACTGCTGTAATGCAAGAGAGCGCATCCAACATAGATTGATTCTGAAATAGAAATAAAAGACATTTGTCAAGACAGCATTAAAAAGAGACAAAGAAATACATGTATACTAAGATAAGGGATCTCCACTTACAAGATGTGCTTCATCATCTAATCCAGATATTATTTTGGCACACAGGTCATCACAACATACATTATCTTCTGCTGTTGGTACTAGTAATGTACAGCGGGCAAATGCTTTATACAGTTCTGACCAAGAACGCAATAGTATTTTCGCTGAAGACTGTAGCAAAACAAATTACATTTTAACAAATCTTAGATTCTAAACGGCAAGTACTACTATAGATATTCAAAGTTTCCTACCTGTGGAAATTCAGATGAAAATATACAGTTTACTGGTAGCAACAGTGCACTGTAAATTGCACTGAAATTATGCTCCAAAGCATCACCTTGATTTACATCATTAGTCTAAGGGGGGAAAAAAGTAGTTCAAATTGAAAAATCTTCACAATTTTTAACATTCAAAGCATTTAAATTATTGTACCTAGGCTGACACAATCTGAACTTTATACATTTAAGACAAACTGAAACCTTAACGTTCTTGTTTATTTTTTAAATCTAGTTCTGAAAATTATTTTTATTTCTGTAGTAACATTTTGGTATCTGTAACTGATACTTAAATAGATAAACTAGTTCACTATACCTGTTTAATCCATTCAATTAATGGGTTAACTATAATAGTCCACATTTGCCACAGATAATTCTTATTTTCCAAGTAAATGGCACTCTGACTCATAATTGTGAGTACAGACTCAGTAAAAGACAGAGGAGACGTAGGGCCAGACACAGCACATTCCACAAGAGATTCGTAGTTCAAAAAGAATCTAGTTAAGAAAAAGTAATTAGAATCAAAATTAAAGAGATGCAACTAAATATCCAGTTGGACATAGTCAAATTAATGGTGGTAGTTTTAACTTTTAGAGATGGGAAGGGTAGTGAAGTTATACTTTTAAGTAGGATAACACTACCATTTGTTAATGCATTATTGTTACTCCACGAGGGTTATTTTAAATAAAGTAGCATTTTCAAATAAATTCCGGTACTAGGATACAGAATTTTAAAAACTATTCTTTATTATCAAATAGAATTTTTTTTAAAAAAAACTGTTCTGGAGTACCTACCTTTGACTCTGCACTCCATATTCCAGAAGATCTTCGAAGAATAAGAGCTGAAGTAAGAATAGTGCTGGAGTTCCCTATCAAGAAAGGAAAACCTGGGCAGTAAGTCTACTATTCACTGGAGTATTTCAGAAATGGAAGGTCTATTCTGCCTTACCAATCCTACCCATCGTCATCAGCTTCAGGACTCAATTTCTGTTTTACAAATGTCAACCAACATACTTTTATTAAATAATTCAAACTCTAGATATTACCTTGACATTATAAAGGTTTACTACGTGCCCAAGTATTCTTCCTAGCATCTTGACTGGCAAAATTATGTAAATTCAACTGCCGAAACTTTAGATCTTCCTGCTTTTAATTAATATGTGAATTCTGTCTAAATATATACTGCCTTTAAAAAAAATATTCACCTTCTTTCAGGATTTATGAAAGTTTGCACATACTCTCCACTGAACATTATTTGAGCTTCATGTGGATCCTACTAATATTTAAAGAGAATCTAGGTGACAAAATAACACCGAAGCCTGGTGACTGTTTTGTAAGTAATCCAATGTGAAATATGTCAGTATGAGAATATAATTACTTCCTTCGAATCATGAACTGTTTGAACTAATTTTAGTTACGATAACTGCACCTAAGTTTATCCTGTAATCAATGATCAGTCTCTCATGTTACTCTGCAGGAAATTTAACCCACTTTTCTATGGTAGATTCCTTTAACTCAATAACATCTGAAAATTCCCTAATATGAATTACTCTTTCCAGGTCTTGCCCTACTATTACAATAGGATTTGGGTAGGACTTTTTCTGCATTTAATAGCAAGCAAACTATTCCTAAAAATAAGTATGTTTGGATAATTAATATAGAAGAGAGAATCTGTGTGAATGTTGCAATTAATAGCCAAATATTTGGATCAAATTACCGGAATTCTTTTCTTTCAAAAACAAAAATATTCAACCACAGCAATGCAACTTAGGGAGCAATAGTAGACTGCCTTTATGTGCATTCCTAACCTAGTTAGTTCTTTCTTTCTCTGTGCAAAAAATGAATTCCGAGCGCTGTGCAACATATTTCACCTTCCTGACCCTTTGAGAGAGAATACCATTTTTATGGCACTTTGGAGTATGTTTCTCATTTGTGCAACTTCAAATTTTTAACTGAGAATTAGTACATAGTATATTTGATATGCTGCTGCTCTGGTGGAATAAGGTTATAATATACAGAAGGATGGGGTCAACTCTTGGGATTAGATACTCCTTTCCTAATGGATATACAATTGAAGACATTTTTGTTTACACGGATTATTTGTTGAATCTAAATGATGAGTGCATTTCTATAAAGGAAAAAAAACAATTAAAACAGTTCCTGGTTTTTGAACAGTACGAAAGCTCAACTGGCTTGCTCTCATACTGACGTGTTAATCTTTATCTGTTGTTGTTGTTAATTGCGAAGTCGTGTCCGACCCGTCGCGACCCCATGGACAATGTTCCTCCAGGTCTTCCTGTCCTCTACCATCTTCTGGAGTCCATTTAAATTCACACCTACTGCTTCAGTGACTCCATCCAGCCATCTCATTCTCTGTCGTCCCCTTCTTCTATTGCCCTCAATCTTTCCCAGCATTAGGCTCTTCTCCAGTGAATCCTTCCTTCTCATTAGGTGGCCAAAGTACTTGAGTTTCAACTTCAGGATCTGGCCTTCTAAAGAGCAGTCGGGGTTGATCTCTTCTAGGACTGACCGGTTTGAACGCCTTGCAGTCCAAGGGACTCGCAGGAGTCTTCTCCAGCACCATAGTTCAAAGGCCTCAATTCTTTTGCGCTCAGCCTTTCTTATGGTCCAACTTTCACAGCCATACATTGCAACTGGGAAAACCATGGCCTGGACTATACGCACTTTTGTTGGCAGGGTGATGTCTCTGCTTTTTAGAATGCTGTCTAGATTTGCCATAGCTTTCCTCCCCAGGAGCAAGCGTCTTTTAATTTCTTGGCTGCAGTCCCCATCTGAGGTGATCTTGGAGCCCAGAAAAATAAAATCTGTCACTACCTCCATTTCTTCCCCATCTATTTGCCAGGAATTGAGAGGGCCGGATGCCATGATTTTGGTTTTCTTAATGTTGAGTTTCAAGCCAACTTTTGCACTCTCCTTCTTCACCCGCATCAAGAGGCTCTTTAGTTCCTCTTCACTTTCTGCCATTAGAGTGGTATCATCTGCATATCTTAGGTTGTTGATATTTCTCCCGGCAATCTTAATTCCAACTTTTGATTCATCTAGCCCTGCCTTTCTCATGATGTGCTCTGCATATAAGTTAAATAGGCAGGGCGACAGTATACAGCCTTGCCGGACTCCTTTTCCAATTTTGAACCAATCAGTGGTTCCGTGTTCGGTTCTCACTGTTGCTTCTTGACCCGCATATAGGTTTCTCAAGAGACAAATGAGATGGTCTGGTACTCCCATCTCTTTAAGAACTTGCCACAATTTGTTGTGATCCACACAATCAAAGGCTTTTGCATAGTCAATGAAGCAGAAGTAGATGTTTTTCTGGAACTCCCTAGCTTTCTCCATGATCCAGCGTATGTTGGCAATTTGATCTCTAGTTCCTCTGCCTCTTCGAAATCCTGCCTGTACTTCTGGTAGTTCTCGATCCACATACTGCTGGAGTCTAGCTTGTAGGATTTTAAGCATAACTTTACTAGCATGTGAAATGAGTGCAATGGTGCGATAGTTTGAACATTCTTTGGCATTGCCTTTCTTTGGAATTGGAATGTAAACTGACCTTTTCCAATCCTGTGGCCACTGTTGAGTTTTCCAAATTTGCTGGCAAATTGAGTGTAGCACTTTTACTGCATCGTCTTTTAAGATTTTGAATAGCTCAGCTGGAATACTGTCACCTCCACTAGCTTTGTTGTTGCTCAGATTTTCTAAGGCCCATTTCACTTCACATTCTAGGATGTCTGGTTCGAGGTCAGTGACCATCTCATTGTGGTTATCTGGGATGTTAAGCTCATTCTTGTATAGTTCTTCTGTGTAGTTTTGCCATCTCTTCTTAATCTCTTCTGCCTCTGTTAGGTCTCTGCCATTTTGGTCCTTTATCATGCCCATCTTTGCATGAAACGTTCCCTTCATATCTCCAATTTTCTTGAAGAGATCTCTGGTCCTCCCTATTCTGTTGTTTTCTTCTATTTCTTTGCACTGTTCATTTAAGAAGGTATTCTTATCTCTTCTAGCTATTCTCTGGAATTCTATATTCAATTGGGTGTATCTTTCTCTTTCTCCTTTGCCTTTCGCTTCCCTTCTTTCCTCAGCTATTTGCAAAGCTTCCTCAGACAGCCATTTTGCTTTCTTGCATTTCTTTTTCTTTGGGATGGTTTTAGTTGCTACCTCTTGTACAATGTTGCGAGCTTCCATCCATAGTTCTTCAGGCACTCTGTCTATCAGATCCAGTTCCAGATCCAGATCTTTATCTGACTGACATGTTAATCCTTATCTGGGAATGTCTCAATTTCCACTCAATGTTTTAAACTTAAGCAGATGGATGTGACATTCTGACTCATCAGCTTTTGATTTCTGCTTTAGGAGAAGGTCACCTTAACCAATGTGTAGAAATTCCATATCCATTCTTGTAATAGTTTAGGAATTTAGGATCTAGTGGGATTAAGAGAACCACTTATAAATATCTATGACTGAAATCTTACCAGTTATATCTCTTTTAGGAAATAAGGCTCATGTGGCATACCATCTTTGTGTAACTAATCGGAGCAGTATCACACACCATATGCATTATACTTACATTCAGAAGATCCAGGTCAGCAATCAGATAGGCTGGTGATCCCAATACTTTTGGAGGCAGTTCTTTAATAGCCACTTCTAACAAAGACTAAAACAGAACGCAAAGTATTTTATTTAACAAGTAACAAGGAAAAATAATTAATTGGTATTTATATCAAATCAACGCTAAAATTAGAAAATACTATTCTCCTTTGATAATACATTAATGTTAATTCAAAAACTATTTTATAATGAAAAAAGTCAAGATTACCCAAAGCAGCATTCTCCTGCACAGCAAATAAACACTATTTATAGCTTATATCATCATACAAATATGACTTATCCAAAGTATTCTGTTGTGTATTTGTACATATAATAGCAAAATCTGCCCTTGAGCTTTAATAAATAAATAAAATGCTAGAATCACTCTTGTAAGTAGGAGAATATTTGTAGCTCAGGGTTGAAATGGGGGGGGGTCCTCGGTGTTCTCATAAGCATCAATGATTTTACCTAGTTTGGCTAATGAAACATCTTGACGAAAGCAACCAAACTCACAGCATCAAGGACCCCTCAAGTACATAAACTTCTGAACAGCAAAATATTGCGTGAGCTCTAATAAATAAATAAAATACCAGAACCACTCTTATAAATATATAAACCCCTAAAAAGGATATCCAATTTAGGGTTCATTTTATATAAGAATGCTGAATACCATCAATTTAAAATTCACACATGTAAAAACTCTATCAATACTTACCAATGAGTTTAATACTGGCAATTGTTTTGACATAATAATGTTTTTTAAAGTCTGCAGCAACATGGTTAATACTTCTGAATTCGACTGCTCTCTTTTGTTGCCTAGAAATAAGTTATGCATGCGGTGGTCAATCAGATCTTATAACACTAGACCCAGTAACAGCTTCATACATTAATTGCATTTTTACCCAGATCCCATTTCGGGCAAATCACTTCTAAATAATAAAGTTTAACTTCAAGCTGTGTTCAAACATGGTATGTAGATGGTACACCAATTTATTTAGATAGCCATAAGCGTAAATGAATAAATTCAATATCTTCTCACTTTCATACGGTCTCTGTACAATTAAAGCACATAAACAATTATTACCTGGTTCAATTGCAGCTTTCACAAAACCAACTAATTCTTTCCATATAGCAGTGAGCATACAATCTGCAAGGCATGATGTTTAACAAAAGGAAAATCAAGGTGAAAAATCAGTAGGTAGATTTATATTAAGAAACATTGGAACAGGTGCCTGAACGATGCTGACTACTGTACTATAAGAAGCTTTTTTAAAAGAAAAAAAATGCCCACTGAAGAATTTTCTGTGAGTAGAAGAAAAAAGCCACACACAACTGGGTAAGCTGTTTACATCCAAATCACCAGGGCAGCCATTTCCTCCCTTTTAAAAGTCAGCAAAAAGGTTTCTGGGGCTTATCTTGTCTGGAGGGAGACAAGGAACTAATTCAGTTTACTTTTCAGGAATGGTAAGGAGCAAAGAAGGAAAAATGGAATAAGTCTGCAAGGAACGGTCCAACCAAAGACTCAAAATACAATCCCAATAGAGTACAGTCAGTAAAATGCTCAGCTCCATCTATCTGAGCAACTAAAATGAGCTGTGATTATCAATTTTTTCCTCATCTTTTTTTCTTATGACTTGCCTCTTTCCCACTTTAAGCCTGACGGCGAGAGCTGTCTAACTGATTTATTTTTGATTCATTTAGTTATATTTATATAGTATTCCTTTACTTAATGCCTTTTGACTTTGGAGTTGTAGTTATCTGCTTTCAATAAATACTTTAACCTGCACAAAAAAAAACTTACCAGAAATTTCTTTTCCGACTGCAATGAAGCCATCCTGAGCTGCATTTATGAAAACACTGGCATGTTTGCAGAAGAAGGGAAGACTGGTAATTACTGGATACTGAAGAGGTTCTATATAAGAAGGCAGTAAAGAACTATTATCACTGACAAAAGGTATGAGAATCAGCAGTTTTTAAAAATAAAACTAAGGTTGCAGTATTTTACTTGTTAAAAAAATTGTTTTATCAACCAAAGAGTTACCTAAACTAAGTACAATATTATTTTCCTCGGCAAAAGTCAATATTTCCTGTCCCTTAAAGAAGTGAAGTAGCATTTCAATTCCTAGAATCTGAATAGATGGAATGACAACAGCTCCTCCGATGCTAGCATTCTGAGTCATCCTTGGACTGGCAACATTTCCAAAAGGGAAAACCCCTGAAATAAAAAAGTTGCATTTTTCGTCTCTCACTTCTAGCAGAGAAAATTGTTCATATGGGGGGGGGGAGACACCCCACCCCATTAGGAGAATCTTGAAAAGATGGTTGATGGAAATGAGGTTGAAGATCTGATTATGTCTCATGCTTCTAACAATAGGATTGTACTTCAAAGCTTTATGCTTCTAGCCAGCGTATTTTATTTAGAAAGTTTCCCCAAATGTGTAAGACGCTATCTTCCATTACGGACCTATTGTATGCTTAAACTGCAGCTACACAATTTTAAACTGCAGTGCTTGTTATTAATATTATCTTAACAAACATCAAACTTTCAAAATATCCTACTTTGCAAGGCAAATGCCTTAGGACAGATTAGGAGTGTGGAACAAATGGAGAATTATTATTTTTTTTTAAACCCAGAACAAACCAACACATTTTGTGGGTTGTGCTGAACCATTTCAGGTCAGTGGTAGAACTGAGATTGCTCTCCTCCTCCTCCTCCTCAATGGCATATCCCACCAGTGTGCTCATCACCTCCCAACCTTCCCCTCAGCTGCCAATGTGCTTGCACTGCTTGCTTCATACCTGATATTTGTGAAGAACCTGGTATAGCTAAACTCTGATTAGAAATGAACCGTGATGAATTTCCTTGTAGCTGAGAGGCATCCAGGCATAAGGTGTTCTGAATTAATGGTACACCAACCTAAAAAAGAAATACTGAAGCGTAAGCCCAAAAATAAAATAAATGGGCAGACCAGATCTCAATAATTTATTCTAGCAATAAACAAGAGATGGTGTCTACTGCATAAAGACATTATTTACTGAATGAGACAATGCATACATGAGGACAACTAATATGTAGAAATGTCAATAGATCTGTGGTCGATGAAATATACCTTCAGGCACATAGCTATTCTGTTGTGCTGTTTCTGGATCACATTTTTTAAAACTACAGCACTGATTTAAACACAATTTCCAAAATTATAACCAATTCAGTTCTACTTAATTCAACACAGCAAAAATCTCTAGAGCTTTTAATACTTCATTATTACTTAGTAATTACTAATTTAATTCATTTCATTATAATAAATCAATAAATAATATAAATCAATACATTATAAATTCAAATATCCTAAACTGAACAAGGTTCACTGACTACCGTGATGATCATGAAATATTAGGATATGTAAATAGTTTAAACTGTTAAATCTTTTGTGAGAAAATAGAAATCAAATAGAAATCTAGGTCAAAGAGCCTTTCCGATTTTAACTAATGCTCAATATTAGTTTAACAACAAATATTAAGTTACCTGTTCAAAGTGGACTGGAAGCTGAGATCCAAGCCTAATTAATAAATACCACCAAACTTCAAGCTTGGTCACTGCCAGAGTTTCAGTTCTTACATGAATAGAGCTCAGTGGTTGCATTAGCAATCTCAGCCTTTTTGCACTGCATAATATGTCTTGAAGAATAGAAACAGAAATTATTATTATATCCAATAGAATGAGAAGCAGAGTTTAATTCTTTTTGCCTCACTGGGTTGCCATTAATTGAAAATGGATTTGTCTAACAAACATAGCATTCCCTTTTTAAAAAATATTTTTATTGAAGATTTCAACAATTCTAAAAAGTAGCCCAAACTTAATATCAGAAAAAAATATATAAAATAAAAATATAAATACAAAATGCAAGAAAAATAAAGAAAAAAGAAAATCAGCAGAAAAACAAGAAGTACAAATAAGCCACTCCTTTCATATGAGTGTTTCAGGAATATAATAATTATTGCACTTGTATAATGATTATGTATTTGAATTCTATACTCCCTACCCATCTCCCTAAAAGCTGCCATGAGCTTTCTCATGGGGAAGGCAAATAATCCAAAAAAGTATTGTAGACACCTGTCTCTGAGGAACAGAGAAAAGAAAGATTACTTCTGATTTCTCACAACAAAAGAATGGCCACTGCAGACAAGGGACTTGCTTAACAACAGCTGCACAAAGCCCCATAGTCATTTGCTTAATGATCAGCACAACTTACAATCACAATTCCAGGCTAATTAGTTTTAACTTGAGGACTTCCTATATACCTTTTCCTAGATTGGGTTGGGGAATGTCTTTCAGTCTCTCTTGGCCTCGTCATCTCACTGCTTGACTACTGCAAAACAGTCTATATGGGATGCCTCTGAAGACTACCTGGAAGTTGCAGCTGGCCCAGGATGCAACAGTGCTGGCAATGATGGGCACGGTTCAATATGCCCATTTAATATCTCTGCTTTGTGAACTGCACTGTTTGCCAGCTTGCCTCCAGGTGCGACTCAGGGTGCTGATTACTATCATAAACCCCAACATGGCATAGGGCCTGGTTACCTGAGGAACTGATTGTCTCCCACAGTATTTGTCCAGCCGATCAGGGTTGGTTGGTTGTTTTGATTAAACAATGCCATTTACTGTGATCCAGGATGCATGCCTTTTCTGTGGCAGCTCTTGCCTCCTGGAATAAGGGTCTTCCTGAGAGTCAAATGACCTTCACGCTACTGGTATTCCGATGGGCCTTTGGCAAGTATGACTGAGGACAATTTCCCTCTTTTTCTTCCTTCCCATCCAGGTGTCTCTGGGGATTCTCAACCGTTCAGGTCAGGGTTGTCTCAAAGGTGCTTTTCAAAAGGCAACTGGACTTTCTTGTTTTTTTCATTGAAAACGTTTCTCTTCTCATCCAAGAAGCTTCTTCAGTTCCGGACCTGTTCTCAGCACTGAAGAAGCTTTTTGGATCAAAAGCAAAAAAAATTCAAAGGAAAAAAACCCAAGAAAGTCCAACTGCCTTTTGAAAAGCATCCTTGGGGTTTCCTATCCAGGTTTCCTATCTCTGACACCTTTATTCCTTTTGATTTGTGTTCTTTGTTTTTAAATGTTTTTAACAATTTGAAAATTGCCCAGAGTTGCTGGGAATCAGGCAGAATTTAAATTTGAGTAAATGCTTTAGAGTGGATGAACAGCACATTCTCATAAGAGATAGCTGGCATCTGGTAACAATTAATAACTATGTAAATCTTATATTAACCATAGTCAGTATGTGACAAGATGGCAACTAATTTAATTTAAAGTATCGACATCACTAATAACTTCCTATTTTTGTGTGTCAGTTTAATCACTGATTTTCCTCCTGCAGGTGAGAAACAAGAGTATATTCCTTGCTGATACATTACTGCTCAACGTGTTAATGTACCTGGATTTAAAGCAAAGTTATCAATCAGACTTTTCCATGCAATGAAAGCTATTTTCTTCACCACCGGGGAGCCACTACGAAATCCAAGTTCTTCTAAATAGAGCAAGGAATTGATAAAGCTTCCATTATGGTGCAGTGTCTAAAGGGGAAAATGCAGCATCATTGTATACTGTAATGCACTTCCAGTATCATAGGTTAAAATGATTTTTTTTCTCCAACTTACTTTTCCAAGCAACTTTATAAACAGGGGCCACAGTTTCAGAATATATGTTTCATGTTTTGAAAAAAACAGCTTTTGGAGTTCTGGAATTACTTTCTGCAGGATTATAATAGAGAACATTTATTAAAATGTTGTATTAAGTTAGATAAAAATGCACCTTAATGAGATTCTTGGGGTTTGTTCAGAGATGGCCAGCTAACGTCCTACAACAGCATTCTGAACTATTTCACATGAATAGGAATTGTTTGTCAAATATCTAGAAGGAATTTGCAGTTATGCCTCACTCCGAAAAATGCCAAAGCCATTTTAAAATTCCATGGGATGCAAGAAGGAATGATTAAATTACTTGTGGCAAATCCACTGCATAATTACCACACGAGGCACAATTCAGCAATTTATTCTCTGGGATTAGAAACTGGGTTGCTAAGAATAAAAATCAATGTGTTTTGAATAGGTTTAAATTGACTCCAGCAACAAGGCTACCATTAATAGTATTGCGTGTTTATAGATCAAAATGATGGAAGAGTATTACAAACAAATCGCTCTCCAACAGATTGTCACCCAAGGATTCACTATCCTTAAGGCTTAACAATGAAAAATATGTAATCAAACAGTGGATCTGGGACAGAGCCATTAATAATCTAAGAGGATTTTAAACTTTTATCAACTTTTCATAAAATCCCAGAGACCCTCTTCTGACGCCTGTTTTTTCTCTTATTCCATGTTATCAATGGACATTTTTTAGAGCTTGCCTTAATGCCACACCCTCAGTATCTTTTTTTAAAGATGCTGTAATATCCCAGGTCCCAAGAGGATTTCTCCTATGAGAATGAGGTAAGACAGAGAAAACTGAACATGTTTTTTTATACTGTGAATTTAATCCAGACTTTTATAAAATGCTGATATGGTCTTTATTTTAAAGAAAATCCAGATGGGTTTTACATTAAATATCATTCAGCTGACAGAGACTCCATAATTACATACTGTACACAATTGTAAAATTTTATTGTGAAACTATAAAAATTATTTGCATTCTTGTAACCCTTACAGAATTGATCTGTATCAATCGTACGAAATTTGACTTAAGTTTTTAAACCCTGGGTTTAAAAACTATCTTTTATCTATTGTTTTATATCAATTGTCCTTTAGTTTGCATGTTTTAAGACTACAAAAGATATACAGTCTTTTATTTGATTCAGAATAAATGTATTAGTAACATCTAATCTAAAGGATTATACTGAAAACCACCTGAACATACAATTTCATATGGAAAAATGTAAACATTAAGATATTATATTAGAAGTTACAAATAGCAGTCAATTATCATTTTAATACTCTTTCAAAATAATACATTTCAGCTCAGGCTTCATTTGTATTTATCTTCCTATATTTAAAGTACGATTCTGGTATTTATTATATAATATTTGTACACATTTCAATGATTTCTATTTTAGATTTTTAATTTATGCCAAAAATATACATGACTGAAAATCTAGTAAAATAGCTGTATGGGGACTGAATGAAGGTCATGCAAGAAATATGTCTGGCTCTATGGTGCTCTGCAAACACATTTAAGATATATTTGACTTACAGTGGTCATGATTTGTTCAGTGATTGTTATCACCTCTTGGTGCTGCTGAAGAAGTGGTAGACCCATTTCCAAAGCACTAGCAGCTCTTAATTGTATTTTACGAGCTGAGTGAACCACCAAAGGAATTATTATCTTAGCCCACTTCACAGCCTGTTGCTCCATGTTGGATGGAGCCTGTTCTATCAGCCTAGATTTTAGAAACACAAATATGAATAAGTTTTGCAAACACAAATATGAATACGTTTTTCAAAGTTTTTGCAAGTTTGTCAAAAGAACTGAGTATGCAGGTTATGTAAATCTCGTACTCTCACATGGCAGTGGTTTGCAGTCTATTCTGAATAACATTACAGTGCTTCCAAGGCTAATTGAAGATGTCTACAGACCAGAGACAAGATAACTTAATCTACTGTCAATTATCCAACTGGCGTCAATGCAATAATGAGGCTATTTCAGCTGATTTGGACCACAAATAAACTAAAATCACTTTAGATTAAGTAAAAGCTAGAATATGATCCAGAATTCTTTGCTCATTTCAATAGACTGTTGACAGTTGAAGTAATATGGAAAACTTTTCCCAAACTAACTCTTACAAGCAGCCATTGCCTATCTACTACATTATGGAACTACCATTTATGTTACATTGCTACCATTGGTGTGCTCCAATTATAATATGAAATACAATATCAATAAAGATCCAATATAAAGTTAGTAGCTTAATTGGAAAGTAGAACAAATTTCCCCAAAACTATATACAATTTCTCTGACAGATAATGTGATAAATTCAAAACATAAATATTACTGAGCATGCAGTACAATCATAACAGTGCTATAGCTTACAATGTAAACAAGTCAACATTTAAACAGAAGTCTTTCTCCTCTTCTAATTTTTAACCAATTTATAACTGACACATACCGGATGATAACATTTAGCGCTTCATATTCAACCACCATGGAATGTAAATCTCCTTCTAGTACTGTTTCTAGCATAGCAATAATACTGGGTACCTGAAAAGATATAATGAGTTAAGTACAGCAAGACTTTTTATCAACTTTTATTTATAGGTGATGAAAACAAATCTTACTCACCAACTTTGCAACAGTATCAGGAGGAAAGGACTGCTTTGAGATCACCCAAAGTGCTCTTGTGCAAGTGTGTTTGTCTCCTGAATTTAAAGCAACATTGTTTAATGTAGAAAGTAATTTGTGTATTTCTATTTCTGTTAAAAAAAAATAGAAAAACCAGAAATTATTGTTAGAAGTATTATCACTATGTAATAATTGATAGTAACAATTTTCCTGGTCTGTATGAAATTCAGACTAATTTCCCTGCTAAGACAATTCTCCAATGGCTGCAGACATGCGGTGTCTAATTTTCCCTAAAGACCATAACACTAACTGCCCTGGGATTAGAGATATAGGAATTATTTTTGACAAAAGTCAAGACACAAAGCATACTACAGCTTTTCATTCATGTTTCACAGAAATGGTTATGTAGAAACATTCGCTCTATGTTCTAGCAACTCATATGTACTTACATCAAATAATCCTAAATACCCCTAAATAAAAGTATGTGGATACAAAGCAATTCACTTCCACATATGCATCCATGTGCATAAAGGGATGGCTCAACAGAAACTGCTGTTCTGGATAAGGGTTTCTTTAATAATGATGTATACCCAGTATGCCAACAGGTAGCAAAAAATATGCCAAAGAACTGCTCATGTGAGTATTCGATGTCAGGGAAGTCCACAGGTTATTTTTATTCGTCTTTTGTATTTTAAAACTCTGATTAAAAATTATTATTTAAAAAAAATCGTTCTTGGATCTCTGCAGGTTTTATTTTGGCTGAAACATGGACCAATCAAAAGATTCTGCCGTTTATTTATGCTGAAATTTAGCCAATGGGAAACAGATTAGTAACATATTCCAATTCATGGACATTTCTATCTGTGATTATGTAATTCTGTTAGTATATCATTAGTGTCTGTATGTCCATTATTTACAGATATACACATAGACTATGGATACCAGTCATTGGAAGAAACTGGCTAGTCAAACTGATTAGATATATTTTATCAATGTTTATAATACAAAAGGGTATTTACCACATAACAAGCAAGACATGTTTGGATTAAATACACAATATCCCAAAGCTTGTAAAGCTGCACTGCTCAACTCCGCATTTTCAGAAGGAATATATGTCTAAACAAGAAAGAAAACAAATCTAAACTCACACAACAGAAGACTGATCACTTATATTACTTCAATTTGTCAAGATCTGAAACTGCTATCATTCTCTAATCCAGAGCTGAAGAAGCGTTTTAAATGAGAAGAGAAACGTCTTCAAAGAAAAACAAGAAAGTCCAGTTGCCTCATGAAAAAGCATCTTTGGGACAACCATGACCTGGATGACAGAATCTCCACAGAAATCTCTAATCCAACCTTACCAATCTGGTAAATCTCTAGATCAGGGGTGTCAAACTGCTGGCCCAAAGGCCGGTGGCATCATACGGAGGTCATGCCCCCTCCTCAGCTCTGGCAATGCAAAAAAGTGGCGATACGTCACATGACACGGTGAGTTTGACACCCATGCGCTAGATGCTCTTCAAGCACCATTTATAGTCCCTTTACTGAAACAAATGAAAGTGGACTTCCAGCTAATTTGGAGGGTGACCAAATTGGAGACGGTCGCTATATTTACTTAAGATTAGATTATTTAATATAATATTTCACCCTCAAATACAACAGCTAGTTAATTTGCAGGTTATTTCTCTAATCCACACACCAAAGCTGATATATATCAGTAATTTAGTGATCTTGATATGAAAAATGAATAAATTTATTTCTCTTGTTTAACAGGCCAATTTGATAGTAGATTAAATTTCTTTATCTTCAACAAAAAAAATCAATAGCGATTTTTGACATGATTCAAATTGTTAAAAACTTACAAAAGTATGCACCTCTTCAAATTAAAAATTTCAACTGCTAATCTTGCCCAATTCTGGTGACAGGAAGCAACTTAAACTTGTTTAGCCTAAAGTATTTAGATAACTAAGCAGGGCAATAAAGACTAAGCACAGAAGTGAAATACATACCATAAATATTTTGTAAAGTTGTGGGAAACAGTTTTCAATCTCAATTGCTAATTTCCTTCCTTCATCTTCATCCTCTTCATCTTCAGTCAGACGACTTAATATTGAAAAACAAACAGGCTTTCAGTTAAAAAGTGCTCAAATGTAGACAAATACATAGCTATTTAAAGGCTAACCAATACAACCCATGACTCGGTATGAATTTGATGACAGACATTTATCAGTTATCAGGCTTTGCTTATAAGAACCTCAAGCACTTCAAGCTTTCTCTTAATACCCAAATAAAATATTTGGGAATAAATGTAAAAGGAATGCTGATAATAATGTTAAAAGTTTGTCTGGCACGACAAATGCTCTAAGCTGAGAATCTTATTTCTAACAAATGTTGGATTATGATATTGTAAAGATTATGGATCTGAAAAATAATGTATTAAAGACCAAGTTATCTGATAAAATGGCAAATGATTTCAAGTTATATAGTATATTAATGGGGAAAACTAAAGCAAATAAATGGATTTTTGTACCTTCATATGTTTTTGTACCTTCATATAATGTTTATGGGAAAATAAGTAGAAAAATATCAAGATCAGAAAATACAAAAGAGTGAGTAGTAAGTGGCCTACTGATAAAATAAAAATGTATTGACATAAGTAAAAACAACTCTGTAGAAAAGTGTGCTTCTGTGACTTTGTTACATGGAACAAATAGCCATGTCAGGAGAAGTTGAACCCAGTGGGAATGCAGTATTTAAGTGCATGTGTTCAATAAGGAAAGGGCACCCCAAAGATGCTTTTCAAAAGGCAACCGGACTTTCTTGATTTTTTTTCTCTTGAAAACATTTCGCTTCTCATCCAAGAAGCTTCTTCAGTTCTCTTGGGTGAAAAGTAAAACGCTTTCAAAGGGGGGGGGGAGAAATCCCAAGAAAGTCCAATTGCCTTCTGAAAAGTAACTTTGAGACAATCATGACTTGGATGATTGAGAATCTCCATAGACAAGGAGTGGGTGCTACATTAATATAGATTGAATACAGAAGTGAATGAATACTGTGAAAGAAGTAAAATGCAATGGCTTCATCATGCAAAAGGAGCGAATAAAGATTGAAAATTGCCATTAAACAGTGTTGGTAAGATCTCAAAAAAGAGACAAGAATTTTAAAGAACAAAAGGCAATGTATGAAATATATAGGAAAGGGGTGGGAGCAAAAATGGTTTGTCTGAATATAAAGTTATGACATGGTGCAACAATATGTTGGTGTAAACCATATTTCCCTTTTTATGTTATGCTTTCAATGTATTTGGCTTAATATTTTTAACTCCTTTTCTGTACTCTGCATAACATTACTTATGCCAAAAGAAACAGAGGGAATGAAAAAAACTGATTTTACGTTGCAGATCATGAATTGCTCAAGCTAAACAGAATAAAAAAGCTAACCACTTTCCACAATATGATCTTGAGCATATATCTATCACTTTCAAGGAGAACATCAGGAATCACACTGAAGTCCTGAATGTCACTAATAGAGAACCGAGGAATTGTAACTAAATGAAATGTAGTTTAAAAAACTGAGGATGAGAGTAGAAAGAGACTGCCAAAAACAAAGAAAGCAAACTGGAAGTCAGAACAAACAGTGAAAATTACTAAAAGAGAAGCCAAAGCCAAGAAAGACAAAAGTCTCAGAAAGGAGTTTAACAAGTAACTTTCAGAGAGCTGTTAGAAGAGATAAGCAGCAATATTGCAAGATCTGCAAATGGCAGTAGATTTATTCATTTTAGTTTTTAATACGGTAAATATTGATAAATAAAACCCATACAGGGAAACCTTGGTACTCAACTGATTTGAAACTCATTGAATTTGGTACTCAATGCATTTTGATGCGAAAAGAGTATGCAAACTATCATTCTTACTGGACTACTGTAATGTGGTCTCTTTAAGAATTATGAGGCAGCTTCAATTGATTTAGAATGCAGCAGTGCAGGCAGTTATGCGTGCTCCCAAGAGAATATATATTACATCGCCATACCAAGAGCTGCATTAACTGCCAGTTTTCTTCTGGGTCCAATTCAAAGTGCTGGTTTTAACTTTTAAAGTCCTTTATGGCATGGGACCAGGTGATCTGGATCCTATGGATCATCTCTCCCGATCACATCAGCCCATCTCATTAGATCTGGCAGAGAAGGCATACTGTGGGCATCGTCTACCAGGGACCTGTTTTTGGTAGATCCCGGAGGGCAAGCCTTATCTGCTATGGCGCCCGCCCTATGAAATATCCTCCCCCTAATTCAGATTAGGTCAATCATTCTGGAAATCCCTCAAGACCTGGTTGTGCCAGCAAATCTGGGGATTCCAGGGAACTGGAAACATTCTTAGGTTGATTTTTTTAATCTCTCCACGTGGTTTGTATGTTTTACATTTCTTAGGTTTTTTCAAACAATTTTAATAATGACTATTTTTATTATTATTTTATATTCATTCTTTCTACTGATTGTTGTATGCTGTTCAGAGTCACTTCTTGCAAGATGGACAGTCATATAAATCTGATTAATAAAATCATACAATATCCTTACTTTCACATGTTAACAAAATGAAGATTATGAAGATTACAGCCCTACCGGGAAAAGAAGATGACAAGCCAGCTTTAGAAAAAGTTAAGGAACATAAGGCATTACTGATGATATACCCTGGATAACTGAGAAAGCCAAAGAAAACCGAAAGGAAGTCTCTGTGTGCTTCATTAATTACAGAAAGGCCTTTGATTAGGTTGTTCACGTGAGACTGGCTCCAGATTGCCAAAGGAGTGTGGCAAGCCTGTATATTCTTATTTTATTCAACTTATATGTTGAATATATATTAAAAGAAAGTGGTTGAAAAACGATGAGCATGGTTTTAAAACTGGAGAAATAAATATCAATTATACAGTATATGCACTGCTGATGATACTACTGATAGCCCAAAATGCAAAGAATCTCTAAGCTCTAGTAATAATAGTCAGAGCAAAAAAAAAAAAATGAAACTAAAATTAGACACAAAACTAATGACAATAGGTACAACCAGTCTTAGAATTGGCAATGAAGACAAAAACAGACTTGTATAATGACAGCCTGTTTCACATTTAGTTACGATGGTGATGAAAAAGTAACTTTGTGACTAATGCTGAAGGAAAAGCACAATTGTGGTTTTACTTAGTGACCAAAATAAATGTATCACAGAATAAACCTAGATTTTTCACTACATTGTGATCAAATTATCATATTCTGGACATATTGTGTGAGGAACTAGTTTCCTGGAGAAGTCTGCAGTGCTGGGAAAATGGAAGGAAAAAGAAGAGGATGACCAGCATCAAAATGGATGGACTCAATTACACTGATGAGGGGTACACCATTGGAAGATCCTGAAGTACTAGATCGGGAACAGATCATCCTGGTGAAAATCTGTGGAATTTACTCGACGGCACATAATCAATGGTACCATTTAAAAAAAAATTATATTGGGATACGGCACTAATGCCTTTTTCCCATGCCATTATCAGAACGTGTTTGCCTTCAATTGTGCAGCAAACCAATATCCCTTAAGAAAGCGCCCCCTTCACCAAAAGCTTCCCCAGTCGAATTGCTGCGATTCAAAAGAGGAAAAACTAGTTCGAGTTAGAACCATCGTTAGCATGTCAGAAGATGTCCTGCAACCATGTCAAAAAAAAAAAAAAAAAAAAAAAAGCTACCCTTAAAAACTCTTCTCTTTTCTACAGCATTTTACAAAAAGCACGGAATCCTTGTTGGCACGTTTAAAAATCGAAGAAGTTAAAAAAAAAAAAAAAAAGGGAAGAGAAAGCGCGTGAATTGTGGAACTTTTTCGGCCCCAGGGGGATAAAGTTGTCAGCTATGCCCCCCTATTCATTAAAGGACGAAAGACAACAAAACAGAACAAAACCCCAATTTCCGAGGAGCACGTTGGGCAAAGAAAAGAAATCCGAGGTGGCGATTTGCTCAGGAAGCCGCGTAGAGTCAGGATGCTGCGCTGCGTTGGATTCGGCAAAGAGGTGCCTGGCTTACGCGCACCGCTTGGTCTCTGTTTCGCCTTCCCGGACTGGCCGGAGGGGCGCCAAGAAGAGCGCCACCCCCTAAACAAAGTTGCCGTTGTTTCTTTCAACAAAAACATCCCGTCCACGGCTGGCCAGAGGGACGCCGCCGGCACGCCTCGCATCCAGTCGCGGACAGCACAAGGAGTCGTGGTCGGGACTCACTTCGTCAGGGTCAGCAAGGCGTCAGTCAGCGCCCCCAGCGAAGCGGCCGGGTCCTCCAGGGTCTCCAGCAGGGCCCGCAGGCTCGTCCCATCGCAGGGTCCCATCGCTGACTAACCGCTCGAGGGGAGAAAACGGCTGTTAACTAGCCGCCCCCCGTTCTCGAACGCGCTTCCCTCGCTCGCGGTACTTTTCTCGCGGGCGAAGAGGGCGAAGGGCGGGATGGCAGTTTGCCGATGGCAGAAGGAAGCTGGGCCGCTTATGCACCATGCAAAATGGTTGCTGTCTCCTCTCCGTTAAGAATTAAGGGAAGGAGGTGGTCGCGCCGGAAGGCATTTTGCGCGATGCAAAGATACCTGATTTGAACCAGCGGTTGGACTGAGGTGCTCTGCTCATTTATTTTGTTGTAGACGAACTGATATTGCAGCCAACTCTCCTTTAGGACTAACCCCCACTCAATAAAGCCAGTAGAGCTTTCTCCATAATAAGCCCCCAGACTGAGGTTTGAAGGCTTGGAATACGTGAATAGGTAGAACCAGACCATCACGTTGGTCTAAGCCAAAACTTGAGATAATGCCTCCCAGTAACAGCAGGGTTAAGCAAATCATGCTTTAGTGTAGTTTGCATAAAACAGAACTTTTAGATGAGGCTAGCTAAATTAATAGAATATGAAATCTACACATCAGTTTTACATCCAAGTGAGCTAAGCACACAAACTTGCCACCAGTCACTTCACTCATCGGGTGACCAAAATGTAGAAGTTTCAATTTTAACAAAACGGGATTGTGGGAAGCATTTAGTAGATTCGATTGAAAAAAGTTCAAATATATTTTGCAGCTAGAACTGTACTGTACTTCACTCCAGGTCCAATTTGAGTTGTGGGAGAGGAATTAAAATCATGGAATTGATTCTGTTGAAAAGTTCAAATTGGTAAAAAGTATGCACAAGCACAAAAAATGATTTGGCAATTTTGATTTGAAGGTTCAATTAAGAGTGATTGGATACAGCCTTGTAAACTTGAATGCAGCTCTTTACACGCCTCTTAATTCAATGCATACGTTTGTGTTGTTCACAGTGATCACAGTTTGAAATAAACTGTATTGTTTATATTGCAAAGAAGTGTGAATATAATGCAAAGGAATGGAGTAAGCATCTTACGTGCAGCCCCCAATCTACTGAGATTGGTGTCCTAAGAGAGTCATTGGGAATTGGGTGGCATACAAGTTTAATTATTATCCTGGCTAGTTGCACAGTCAGCCAGATGTTTAGAGGGGATTTGGCACTTGTGTCTACTTGTTGAGTCCTATTCTGATTAATTCTTGAGCCTGGATTTACACAGCATCACCAAACCCAAATTGCTTAATTTTAGGCTTGTTATGCTGCTAGAATCCATCTAGTCTGGTTGATTTGTGATCTTGTCTTTCAGGATTTGTGAACCCAAAATATTGGACTAACCAGCAGGCTTGTGTGAAGGATTCTTCTTTGTCTTCTTCACGATACAGTGGCTATATAGTTTTTGTGGTGGGGAGAAGGCACTAGGACCTGCCTCATTAAGGCATTTCCTGTTGCCTCTTGCATGCCCTCCAGCAGTTTCAGCAGTTAAAGACGCTTTTAATGCATTTACATATTTATCTCTCTAGAAAAGCTCATAGCTCACTAGAAAAGATTTCTCTTAAGGCTATCAGCATTGGGGTTCACAAAATCAAAAACCCAAAACCCATGAATGGCAGGAAAGGAATGCGAGTGTTTGGTTTTTGGCTATCAAATCACCTTATGGATATTTGTAGTGTGTATGGATATTTGTAGTGTGGATAGTCCTAGCTTCTGTGTATGCACAGGAATCTTGTCAAGGCTACTAAACTGCCAACAAGTAAAGTGAAGCATAGTACTGTAATCCACCAGTTTTCTTTTATAAAAGAAGAGAGTACTTGTTGCTTCAATCAGCAGCTGCATGAAACTTCATCAGAGTAAAGGGCTATTCTGAAGCTTTGGGCAACCCTAATAATTGGTCAGATTAGGGTAATGCTGATGTGAGAACGTAATTACCTTTCCATTTATTTCCCTCTGTGTCCCATCTATATAAATGCTTGTGGTACTTTAGATGCTTCTCTTTGAAACCGCTAGATGGCAGAATTTAATTAGCATCATCAGAAAATCTGTGGATTAAATTCTTATGTGCACTAGTCCGAGTGTAAAATCTGCTGTTATGCAAGAACATATGAAACCTCAATTTAATACACACACACACACACACACACACACACACACACACGATATAGTAGTTTATGACTTTAGTTCAGACTCCCATTTAGCGGGTTTTCTATCGGATCATCCCCTTGATATGTCCGGTAAAATGAAGTTGTAGACTTGGAAACAAACCTTAGAAAATATTTAAATATAAAGTGAAAAACAAATCATTCTTGTAAATTTGAAGGCAGGGCCAGTAGGCTGTCCAACGCTCAGTTGCTGAGTAAAATGTGATTTATCTAATATTTGAATATTGCATTATGCAAACTCAACTAATCAATAAAGAGATTTATCTAGCGTTGTATTGCTTTTTTCATATTTGTTGACATAAGACCATAGGCTGAATTAAGGAAAACTTCTTGGGCCAGTCTAGGGGTAGGCAACCTTGGCTCTTTTATGACTCATGGACTTCAACTCCCAGAATTTCTGAGCCAGCATGGCTCAGTTTGGAAACCTCTCCCTTTCCCCTCAGCGTGGCTTGTTCAGGAATTCTGGGAGTTGAAGTCCACGAGTCATAAAAGAGCCAAGGTTGCCTACCCCTGGGCTAGTCATAGCCCTGGGAAGGAGGGTGTGGCAAAGCACTTCTGACATCTTGCCAAGAAAACTGCAGGGACCTGTCCAGGCAGTCATCAGGAGTCAATGCTGACTTGAAGTCACCCTTCACCCCCAATAATAATAAGCAAGCAAACAGATGTTGTGAGGTCTGCTTCCTCCTCCTCCTCCTCCAATAAATTAAAGGACCCCCAAAGGTATTCCGTTCGAGATGTCTTAAATGGGGGGGGCTACCAAATTGGTGCTGAAAACATCCAGATAACCATTAGAGGGCAACAGGAAGATATAGGAATGTTTGCTGCCATCTAGTGATCATTGTGGGTTTTGAAGAAGAGTATTGACACTATTGAATTTTAAAGTTGGAGAAGGCTTCTGAGAATTATACCATTATTATTACCATTATACCAAGTTAACAAAGAAGAAAAAGGAAAAAAATACAACTTAAAGAAGAAGAAAAATCAAAACCACTGTTCACTAGAACTTGAATAGAAAGTCGAGAATTATCCTGGCATGGTATTAAAAATGCTTATGAAAGCTTTCCAAAGCCAGTGTTCATTTACTGAAATGTTCCATTGCTAGATATGCATAATTAAATAGGCCTTTTTTTCTACCCAGACACCACAGTGCCCTGCAGATCTTTGGCAATAATTTGGCATCCTACTCTGATTCACTCAGACTCTTCCTTTGCTGTTTTTACTTTTTGCAGAAAGGGAGAGAAAAAAATGACCTTCTAGACAAGCTATTGGTGATGTGATTGTTAAAGCAAATGGCAAATCTGCCCCACTGGAATGCCTGGGAGTGGAGGGGGAACTGTGGTCAGATACCTTAGCATCTCAGCTACAGGAAGAGAAAATTTCAGGATCCCTTTGGCAGGTTAATTTTCAGGCTCTGACAAAATGTAAAAATGCCTCTCTAGAGCTCCAGTAAAATTGCTGTAAAGCTGTTGTTGCTCTTTTGGATGCTAAGAATAGTTACATATCTTAATTAACCAATTCCACAGCATCATAAGGGATGAGGGACATGGCACCAAGTACAGATTGTGTGGCTTGTTTGTGAAAAGAGCCCTGGTGTAGGTTTGTAATCTGGCATTGACCAACATATAAATTAGCAGTTTAGATTTTAAGATCACTTATGTTTTTTTTTAAAGATTCAGGATGGCTTTCAGAACAAAGAATAAATAACTTTTAACCTGCAGAATCATTGCATTACATTAATTCTATTCCATCAAATTTACTTTTTCTTCTGGATCTGCCTAATTTTTCCAGAATGCTAAGAAATATTTACACTTGTAATCATACCTTATCAAGCATTAATGTTCTGTCTCTGTACTGTAGTGTATTCCTTAAATACTTTCCTTTCTTTTTCCACATAGAAAATATACAAACATTCTCTGGAAGGAGCTAAGAAGAAAGGCTATGATCTCAGAAATGATGCAATCCCTATTAAAGCTGCTAAAGCTTCTCGGGAAATCGCCAGTGATGTAAGTTTACAGTCGATATTGTTGGTTTTTTCCCGCTGAAGAAAATTTACAGAAGGCCCCTGTGGATAAAAAGGCACCTTTGGAACCAATTTTACCATTTCTAACAATCTGTTCAATCTGTACCTATATCCATTTTCATTTTATTACTGTATGATAAAGTTACAATTCAGTATTGACCCTCCTGAGCTTACATTTCACTTTCTGTTTTCTCTGCAGTACAAATATAAGTTAGGTTGTGAACAGGACAAGGGTAAGCTCGTTGGCTTCCACAGCCTCCAAGATGACCCAAGCTTGTCCATTTCATGCAAGTGGCCAAGATGCAGTCAGATCGCGAGTACAAGAAAGCCTATGAAGGCAGCAAAACGAGATACAACACGCCTGCCGATACTGTCAGCATTATGGCTGCCAAAGAAGCACAAGCCAACATCACCAATACCAATTACAAAAGGCTCATCCATAAATATATCTTTCTGCCGGATGCCCTGAATGTAGAATTGGCCAGAAATATGAATCGGGTTCAAAGTGATGTAAGATCTTGGAATCTTTTTTTTTTTTTACTATTTAGTTGAAAGATGCTTTTTATATGTTTGTTTATCTTTGAGGGGGATGGGCAGTTCAAAAATGTGAAAAATTAATAAAAATGAAATGCTTTAATAAACTATTTTATAATAAATGGGTTTAATATACATATAAATAGATTATTTGCAATGTTCGGCTGAAATTGTCCTTGGATATAAATTTGTTGGGTGAATAAAGATCAGAATTATAATTTTCCTCTTTATCCATAAAATCAACAGGATTTTTAACAATTTATGTTGATTTTTTAACTGAGAAAAAAAAATCCTTTGCAAGAAGTATTGCCACATAGTTAAAAGGGAAATCCCAATTTTTACAGATGTCAGTAAAAACATTTTGACTAAATGAATAACTTACAGTATATAATACACTATCAATATATTTTAGTATAAAAATTTGTAATTATAGAGAAACTATCATCAATACTTTATAGCATTTTGGTTTCAACTGCACCCTCTTGTGTTTCATTTGTAGAATACTGTTCCAATATCAAATGAAAAACAAGAGGAGATAAAGGACATTCTTGTTAAGTTCTGCAAGACATTTTGCTAGATGAAGATTTCCATTTGAAATATCCTTAGCAAACTAGAACAGTGTACCACACATTGATCCATAGTTTGTGACCACATAATCCACATTATGTGACCACATAAAAAAGAGGAAAAACTTTTTCCAAATTTTCCCATTTGATTGATTGATTATATGCCATCACATAGATTAGCAACCACATAGATTTTCTCCACGACTATCTACTCCTAACTGGTTCTTCCAGGTTTTCCAATGTTGCAGTCATCTATCCATCTATCTTATTGCTAGTCATCCTCTTCCTTCCTTTCCTTACACCTTTTCCAGCATTACAGCTTTCTCCAGACAGTCTTTGAATAATGTGTTCAAATTAGTTGATAGTTAATTAATAATTGATAGTTATCCAAAACCATTTTTAGTCTTTCCCATTACACCATGTCAAAACAATCCAGTGAGACAACTGCTGCAGATATTAGGGTTTGGGGTTTTTTTTTTAAATCAGTTAGTAATCTAATAACAGACTTTATCAACTGTGTATAAAATGATATTGTGCAAAATGGATTATTTGAATTCCATCCGTATTCTATGTGCCAGGGTCCATGGCAGTAGTTTTACATTAAAATAGAACAAGTAAATTAGTCAGCAGAATTGCAAAGTCAGCAGGATAGTCACCAGCCTTCAAAATCATAGTTATATAAATCACAGAGAAGGGGGGGGAAGTATTTTAAAAAGCATTATTGTATAGATCTGCAATGTTTATCTGTGTCAGAGGATCACAATTAAAATAAGGCATACTATATGACATAAAATTTAAAATATAAAATGCAAGAATAAAATATGCACAAGTTAAACAGATCTTGCCCAGAAACTAGCAACATTAATTGTGATTCTGTTGCTCTGCCATGAGGTCATCAAGTGTGCACTGATCAGGATAATCTGGAATGATATTGGGACAAAGAAATCAATACATATTTTATGCCACTCAGTGGAATAATTATCTGGACTAAATGTGTTTCTTGGTTTCACAGATATAATAACTATAATTTCTTAGAAAGATGAAGTTGCAGTAATTAGATGTACTTTTAGGAAGATCTATACTAGGTACAAATAGATTATATTCTTCCTACATTGCATTATACAACTGAGAATAAAAAATAAAATCTGCTAATTTGTAGAGTCAGAATTATTACTTGATTATTCTTAAGAAATCATGTGAGACACACTGCTGTTCAATACTTTAGAAAGGAAATACTTATTTTTAATTAAATAATAAATCAAGCAATTTTTACAATTTTGCAGTGCTTACTAATTAAATAATAAAGCAAACAAAAAAACAAACAAAAGGATTATCTCTTACTCAAAGTGACCTGAAGCTGTAATTCATCATGTCATCATTTACTCACAGGATGCTTCTTTTTGATATATCCATGGGTGTGTGTGTTATATTATTATAGTTAAAAGCTGTTGAACTATAGATTTGTTTCATTCTCTGTCTACAGCATGAATATAAGCAAGATTATAATGAATAGTATAAAGGTCTTGGTTGGAGCCCTGCTGGGTCTTTGGATATTGAGAAGTCCAAGAAAGTCCAAGAAATTGCAAGTGACACCAAGTATCGCCAGCACCCAAGTGCTTTTCCTTTTAAGAAGCTGACTGATTCAATGGATATGGAACTTGCAAAGCACAATGCTGATGTTATGAATAAGGTAACTATTGCCATTCTGCGTGCAAATAATGACATATGCTGCACCCCACTTGAACCCTCTGGCTTGCATTACTTAAGCAAAAGAGTTTCAGCAGATTGCAGATATATGTTATGAGTGGTACAGATTTTGTAAAAACCACTGAACAATTCCTAGCAGATTTTTATTTTATAGAGCATAATTATTTGTTAGCAGATTTCTCTGCAAACTGACATCTTTAGTACTACTGTTAGCTATATACAATATTCTTTAATTAATGTTACCATAGTCACTTGTTCCTTAAGGAGGCTCTCTGTTCCCTAAAAGTAAGGTGACCAACTTTTTTACAATGAAAAGGAGGACAAAATAAATTCAAGAAAAAAATATCGTAAATAAAAGACACATTATATTCATTGCAACAATAATACAGAATGCACTATAATACGATAAACGCATAATAAAAATCATTTGTAACAATAACATTTTATATTGTAATTATGCTTACATGCCTATTAATTATTATTTAAATGAGTACTTTTCCATTGAATGAATATTTTTTGTCAATGTATCATCTTCTAACAATATATATGAAATATCGGAACAAGAAATATTCTTCACATTGAATTTTACGGCAAGTGCTGCAGTTAGAGTATCAACATTCAATCTCAATTTCTCACTTTTCCAAAAATCATTAGCAATTGAAAAAACCCTTTCAACTGCTGCATTAGTTCCAGGGCAGCACAATGTAAATTGAACAAGAATAAATAAACTTTCACATGGAATATGTTCGTTTTTGAAATGGCTGAATATTTCCACCCATCTTTTATCAATTTCAACGTGTTTATTTTCCCATTGTATTAATTTTTCAGAATTTAAAAATACATTCAGTCTTCTAATTTCTTCAAAGGGACAATTGTCGTCTATTTTAATGTCTGACATTTCTTTAGATAAAAACTTAACACAAGATTCAATATCTGTCCAATATACTTGCGATGAAGTAAAAAAAACACCATTGAAAACTGTTATTTCCTGTGAGTTTTCTTTCAGACCACTCTTCAATATACTGAAAACATGTCTGGTAAAAATTCTGCACTTCTTTGATAAGCCTTTCCGTTATGCCCAGATTTGATTCCTCTAAGTCTGACAATTTTCTTTTTATAACTAAAGGAAGAAATTTTTCTTCAAATCGAGTTTTATATTGAAGGATAAAGTCATTCAAAATAAGACTAACTTCTGTAGCTGAAATGTGTTCACCTTCAATCTTTGGAATTGTTTTGTGAAAAATAGATGCTTGATTATGTACAAAATACATTAATATCTCAGATATTTCATTATTGAAAAACGATTCCAGGATTTTAGAACATTTGTCTAAACTTTAAAAATATGAAGGCTCAAATAATTGTAGATTGTTTTAAAGTAGCCACATGAACGGTAAAACGACTAAAATACAAATAAATTGTAGTTATTATTACTTCTACATCAATCGGTGTGGCACATGATGCCTTGTTGATTGCATTTGACAAAATATGTGCATTACAACCTATTCCTAGTATTTTCTTTTGGAGTAAATCTTGTAATTTTACATATACATTATTCACCCCTTTGCGTCTTTGACCACCAAAATTTGTGTTTGTATTATCAGCTGTTAGTGCAACAACTTTGGATTTCAAATTGTTTTCATCTATTATTCTGTATAGATGGTTTGACAAAATTTCAGCAGTTTTGCCCTCAATAGATTTTAAATTTAAAATTTTTACTTGAATGCTCTTGTAACATTGAAATATCTTACTAGTATTGCATACAATTTAGTTTCATTATGATTGGATGCATCAGATAAAACTGTTACAAATGCTGCGGTTTCCAAGTCTTCTATAAGTATTTTGTCACAGTAATTTTTAAATACTGATTTAATAATAGCCTTATTATTAAATTATTATCATCCCAAGATTTCCCAAGATTCATGTTCAATTTTTTTTGGCTGTTCTCTCTAGCGTCTATGTTTTCTTTAGCGCTGTTTACATCCAAACGTCCTGATGCATCAGAGGGTTTTTCAAGTGTTTCAGCGTTTTCTTTTTGCCCAGGAGTCTCCCTATTTTTGCCATCTTCCTTGGCAGAATTTTTTCATCGTCTTTTTGCTTCTCCTTCTTTTGTGGATTGTCCTTTTTGCCTTGACTATCTACAGTTCCATCAGTTTCTCCTTTTTGTCTTAAAGAACGTCTTAATGTTTTCGGGTTAAGTGAAATATCAGGACTTTGGGTAACTTTGGACATAGCCTCTTCGTGAATATCAATCTCTGGAGAAATATTCTCTCTGTGCTCTCCATTCTTTATCTCAATCATGTCGTTAGACTTCAATTTTGGCTCAGTACTGTTTTCTACTTTACTTCTTTTTGCTTTGACACACATCTCTAGAGCATTTAAGATTTCTGAGTGTGACCTCTTTGTGCCAGAGACGGTTTTTCTTGCTCTGAGTTTTAAGAAACTTTTATTCTCCAGGTCTGCTTTCCTTTTGGAGAGACATCTGAAACAACCGTGCTTTCCTTCTAGATAAAGGGGTTCATTAATGTTAAAGAAATATTACTTAAAACCGAAGGACCAAAAGATCCATTGTCGAAGTCATCAATTTTTTCCAAAGTTACAAAAGCCTGCCTTCTGTTCACCACTACCTGTGGTGTGGCTGAAATTATATCACTAGAAGGTGAGGAGTTGCTGCTGTCCTTAGGGGGTTTTCATTCAAAGTAGAATCTAATATTGGAGATTGTATTGGAATACCGAAATCCAACTCCTCATTTTTCTGATCCAGCCTCTCTTTCTTAAGGGTATTAGTTTGCTTGGTAACATACAACATACAAGTCATACATAACTTGTAAGTCATTGCTCAAAGCAATTCAGCGCCGATAAAGCAGAGTGGGAAGACTAGGAATAATGCAATATGTTGGCTGTCATCGTATCAACATTAGCTACTAAAGAGACACACATTATTTTTTATTCCTACATAAGGCTTAGTTATAGCATGATTACACCTTCTTGGGAATGCAACATATAACTGCCATAATTTATTTAATGTACAATTTCAGAGTGATTCTTTTCAATCAGAAAATGAAACAAAACCCTGTGGGCAGATATTGTTTTACCATTTTTTTTACAAAGAGATGTTCTAACAATGCATGCATCAGTGCTACAGTAATGTTTAATCCCAACCACTAACACAATTTGAAAACATACCCAGTGTTCAAGCACCATTTAACTGTATTTTGAAAACATACCATCTTTTTTTTGTTTTTCTGTTTCCTTCTTCTGATACATTTCAACTTTGTTTCCTTCCTTAGTGGATTACAAACATGCCAAAACTGTAGAGCTCCCACAACAAAGATCATCTTCTGTTGCGACTCAACAGACTACAGTATCTTCCATCCCCTCTCATCCATCTACTGCAGGAGTAAGCAAAACAATCCAACCAAAGTATCTATAAAAATGAAGATTTCTGCAGGCAGAGGGTATTTGTCAATCGAGCCTGTGAGTCCATAACAAGCCATGACCTCATCAAAATGGTGGAACCTGGTTCATGACATCAAGCTTTGCTCCTTACATGCTTACATATAAGGTCATGATGGCAAATTGTAAATGGGGAAGAAACTTGGATTATGTCAAATTTTATCATTACCTCATCATTGCCTGCCTGCCTGGGTGGAAGAGTTGCCATTTCTTGGGAGAAAAAAGAACCCTCGTGTGTCTGAACGAATAATCATCTTTGGGATGAATATATATTCACTTGTGGAACTGAACAGTATCTTTAATGTATTTGGGAGGGAGGTCTTTCTATTGAAAGTTGCACAGCTGCAGCAGTGTTGAATTGATTGTTCGCTGCATTCTATGTTTATGCTAGTAACATTTGGTTATTCCTTCTCTCTCTAATATGATACAATAGAAGACTTACCGTGCTGTGTATGACTACACAGCAGCAGATGCTGATGAAGACTCTTTCAAAGATGGTGATGCAATTGTCAATGTCCAAGCTGTAGATGAAGGATGAATGTATGGAACTGTGCAAAGAAGAGGCAAAACAGGCATGCAACTTGCAATTGGGTATCGCCAGTACAATAATGACACTGCACTTTGAACCAGTGGTACAACTCTTCTAACAGTTTCATATCAGGAGACTGGTAGTATGTTTCCCCATTTACACAATTTTATTAAAAGCTATAAGCTTTAGGAGCTGCATCTCACTTCCTGAGATGCAAAACTAAACTGATCCTGGATTAAAACTGGGTTGGGGGCAGGATGATGAAGAGAGGTTGATTGCACAGGGTCAGGTAACACAGGAGACTGTTAGACCTTCAATGTTTTAAAACTTCATATTTTTAACCTTTTAACATATGTTGAGTTGGGCAATCTCTTGGTTAATCAATGGTCATTTTGAAACCTACAGTGGGGAATCCTGGGAGGTTGAACTCTGATTGTAGGCTTCCAAGATTGTTTTGGAAAAACATTATTTAATTGCATAATTGAACAAGAGATTGCTGAACCCACATATATCAAAGGTCTCAACCAACATAGAAACTGAGTATATGTTGGAATCTGGCAGAATTTTCATACTTTTCACACTGACATTTTAAACAATGGGGGCTTTCTCCTTTAATCTACTTCGGTGGAAATTCTTGTGTTGATTCTTTGGAATCAAAGTCCAACTCACTACAGTGAGATTTTCCTGCTTTCCTCCAGCATCCTGAGAACAACAAAAATTTTAGCTTTCTCCCTTGGCCTCATTCCTCCAAAGTGACCCAGCAGTCTCCCAAAGTCTCTCTGGTGGACCACCTCTTCTTCTTCTTTTTTTAAATGCATATTTTATTAGTTTTCTAATTTTACAATCATAAGTACTTAATAAACAACGTGCTG